TGTATCGACGCTCGGGCCGACACCGGAGCATCAGGAACGAGGCACTTCACAGGATGTGCGCAGAGGAGCTGAGGGAGTGGTCAAAACTTGAGGGAGGGGTCTATTGAGCTGGGTGTTTGTGCACCTCAGTATCCTCTGTTTTGTGTGCTGCTGCCACCTAGCTGTCGTACGCCAGAGGGCGGTCTTCTTCTCCGCTGCAGGAGCCTCTCTCGGCTGCCGCTAATGGCCGACTTTGACCGACGTGGGAGCATTCCCGGGTTCGTAGTGCCACTCTGGATGGAGTCGGGCTGAACCGATCGCCAGCTGATAGGAAGCTCGACCAGGGCTCATCGTGAGGAGGTCGAGTATGAGATCAGTACACGTGGGAGATCAGTAGCATCTATTGATCTCACATGTCCATCTAAAAGCCGTTTGTGGAACTCTGAACAGGCGGTATAGTGCGCGCGTGCTGCGGGATCCGATATTTTTGGAGCTGGAAGGGGTGCTCAAGAGAACAGAGCTGCCCCCTAAATGTCTGAACTATGGTATGACCTCTCTCCCCGGCAAGGAAAATGTAGTGGCTATCCATATATGCAGCGCTATAGTTCTTAGAAACAGTTTTTCCCCTGCGACACAGCCATGCTCCGACCCTAGTGACCTATATGCCAGCGCCTATGAACCTGACACCAGCAGTCCCGGGCATATGCTGTGCATTTTTAGAAACTGGGATGGATTTAGACCGGAAATGTCGTAGCACATGAACAAGCGGCCTTCAAGCAGCGACGCGACCACATCGCGGGCCCCGCGCGCGTTTCCTCGCAGAGCGCAGGCCGCGCGTGCATTTGCATACGCCCGACGGATATCCGTCAGCCATGTGGAAATATTTTCCCCGCCCATCTTATGAGGAGCAGGAAGAACGCTCGCCCCGCTGACCTCCTCCGCCTGCTTCTCCTCGCGAGGGCCGGTGTCAGTCAAAGCGTTCTCCGAAGAGGCAACGATTTCCAGCGCGTAGCTGGAACAACCACTGAACCCATTCATCGTATCTTGTCGACACGCTATCATCGGATATTTTACGGTGTAGAAATTATAGGGATCTCCCGGAGCGTCTGCGGCAGATGGCGCCGCCCAGCCAGTGCTGTCCGTGCAGACTGCCCGGCAGGCCGGCGGCGGCCGGGCGGCGGGTGGGCGGGGCGCCGCTCGATGCGTCACTGGCCGGCGCACCAGTTGCGCCCAGACAGCCGCCGCCGGCCGGGGACACGATCGCGGCCAGCGTGCCACCTGTACGGCTTTGTTTTGGTCACACCCGCCGTCTGGCCTGTCTATTTAGAGCCGACGCCGGCTCGGAAAACATGTGATTATCTGCACGAGCCGGCGCCACATCGATCGCACGTCAAACTGCGGACTCTCAAACGCCACGGGCCCGACTCTCAAAAGCCACAGAACAGGCTCACAAACGCCACAGGCCCGGCTCACAAACGCCACGGAACCGGCTCGCAAACGCCACAGGCCCAGCTCACAAACACCACAGGCCCAGCTCACAAACACCACAGGCGCAGCTCACAAACACTACAGAACAGGCTCACAAAAGCCACAGGCCCAGCCCACCAACACCACAGGCGCAGCTCACAATCATCGCAGACACAGCCCACAAACACCACAGGCGCAGCTCACAAACACAACAGAATAGGCTCGCAAACGCCGCAGGCCCAGCTTACAAACGCCACAGAACCGGCTCGCACACGTCACAGGCCCAGCTCACAAACACCGCAGGTGCAACTTACAAACATCACAGGCCCAGCTCACAAACACCACAGGCGCATCTCACAAACACCACAGAACAGGTTCGCGAACGCCACAGGCCCAGCTCACAAACACCACAGGCGCATCTCACAAACACCACAGAACAGGCTCGCAAACGCCACAGGCCCGGTTCTCAAACACCCAAGCCTCGACTCACAAACGTCACAGGCCCGGCCCACAAACTCTACTGACGGCAGGCGACGCGCCGTTCTGTTACTCGTCTGGTCTGGTACTGAGCTGGTCTGGCGCTGAGCTGGTCTGGCGCTGAGCTGGTCTGGTGCTGAGCTGGTCTGGTGCTGAGCTGGTTTGGAGCTGAGCTGGTCTGGTGCTGAGCTGGTCTGGAGCTGAGCTGGTCTGGAGATGAGCTGGTCTGGAGATGAGCTGGTCTGGAGCTGAGCTGGTCTGGAGCTGAGCTAGTCTGGCGCTGAGCTGGTCTGGAGCTGCGCCGCTTTGGTGCTGAGCTGGTCTGGAGCTGGGCTGGTCTGGAGCTGAGCTGGTCTGGAGCTGAGCTGGTCTGGAGCTGAGCTGGTCTGGAGCTGAGCTAGTCTGGCGCTGAGCTGGTCTGGAGCTGCGCCGCTCTGGTGCTGAGCTGGTCTGGAGCTGGGCTGGTCTGGAGCTGAGCTGGTCTGGAGCTGAGCTGGTCTGGAGCTGAGCTGGTCTGGTGCTGAGCTGGTCTGGAGCTGAGTCGGGCCTCGGTCCGCCGTCGGCCGGCCCGGGAGACCGGAGCGTCGATGCCGCCGCTCCCATCGGCCTGCCGTCGGCCGGCCCGGGAGACCGGAGCGTCGATGCCGCCGCTCCCATCGGCCCGCCGTCGGCCGGCCCGGGAGACCGGAGCGTCGATGCCGCCGCTCCCATCGGCCTGCCGTCGGCCGGCCCGGGAGACCTGAGCGTCGATGCCACCGCTCGCCGCGCCGCCGCTCCCACGGTTATTACCCGTAATGGAGCCGCCGGTCGGCTGGGCCGGCGCCCGGCAGCGGCTCAGCGACTGCGCCGGTGGGTATCCAGGGCAGAACCGGACGGGGCGGCCTGATCCCGCTCATGTGAGCAGCACATCTAGCTCGAACCGGTCGCTGACGCGTGTCCGTGCAGATTGGAGGCCGCAAAACCGTCGCGGCCGGGCGCGCGCACGACTCGACACAGCGGCTGGCGGGCACACACAGCCTCGAAAAGAGCGGCCGCACCGAACCGTGCTGCTCTGTGTGCGGAAGAAGTGGCTACTTCCTGTGCGTTTCGGAGCGGAGTCCATTTACTGATTCGTTCCCGGTAACGGTTGCCACCGTCGGAAAATCTCAAAACACATCTTGGGTAAGCGGCGCTGCGCAATAGCCGCCTCCTAGAGGTGGTTATCGATTACTCGAATAATTTGATCGTTAATCATCTGGGAGGCTGGCGGACACGCATGCATTAGAGGAGTCTGTCCGCTGGGCTGGGCCGGCGCGGGGGCGGGGGAGCTGCTCTGACGGCGCCGGCTGGGATTGAGGGACCGGCTCTCCGGCGGCCGAGGCGCCCGTCACCCAGCTGCTGAGCCGAGCCGGCCACGCTCGATAACACCGGTGCGGCCTGAGCGGGGCGCGTCGCCACGGCCGGACGCAGCCGACCCGGGGTCGGCGGCGCGGCCGGTGCACACGGCCCGCCGCTCGGACCTCTGACCGGCACCCGCCGCCCGGACCTCTGGCCGGCCCCGCCGCCCGGACCCCTGGCCGGCCCCGCCGCCCGGACCCCTGGCCGGCCCCGCCGCTCGGACCTCTGGCCGGCCCCGCCGCCCGGACCCCTGGCCGGCCCCGCCGCCCGGACCCCTGGCCGGCCCCGCCGCCCGGACCCCTGGCCGGCCCCGCCGTTCGGACCTCTGGCCGGCCCCGCCGCCCGGACCCCTGGCCGGCCCCGCCGCCCGGACCTCTGACCGGCCCCCGCCGCCCGGACCCCTGGCCGGCCCCGCCGCCCGGACCTCTGACCGGCCCCCGCCGCCCGGACCTCTACCGGCCCCGCCGCCCGGACCTCTGACCGGCCCCGCCGCCCGGACCCCTGGCCGGCCCCGCCGCCCGGACCTCTGGCCGGCACCCGCCGCCCGGACCCCTGGCCGGCCCCCGCCGCCCGGACCTCTGGCCGGCCCCGCCGCCCGGACCGCTGACCGGCCCCCGCCGCACCGGCTCAGCTGGGCGCCGCCGATTGCTCACCGGTAAAGGGTGGCGCGATGTTATCGGATCCGGCTGCGCCCCAGTCTCCGGGCCGCCCGCACAGCTGGCGCGTCGACTGGGAGACGCTGGGCGGCAGCGCGGGTCAGGCGGACCTCCACCGTTCGCCGGACGGGTCAGGCGCAGTTCCGCCTCACGCCTGGCGGGTCAGGCAGAGCACTGCCAGTCGTCGGGCGGGTCATACGGAGCTCTGCCGTTCGCCGAGCAGGTCAGGCGAAGCCCCGCCGTTCGCCGGGTGGGTCAGGCGCAATTACGCCTTACGCCGGGCAGATCAGGCGGAGCTCAACCGTTCGCTAAGCGGGTCCAGCGCAGTTCTACCGTTCGCCGGGCGGGTCAGGCGCAGTTCCACCGTTCGCCGGGCGGGTCAGGAGCAGCTCCGCCGCTCGCCAGGCGACGCCGTGTTCACATTCGGTCGGTGCGGTGGGCGGGCGGGCGGGCGGGCGGGCTTCATACCGCCTCGGCCGGCCCGTGCAGGCGCGCTGCTGCAGACCGCTGCGAGCCCACGCTCGGCCCCGTCCGGTTTCGCCGCCATATACGGGTCGCGAGAGGTCTCCGCTGTCGCCTGGCGTGCCGGCTGACCGTTACCGCGTGGACAGACGGCGCTTGTAAACACTGCGCCTCGTCATCGCTCAGCCAAGCGCGCATTCGGGCTCAGCAGGGGCGTCCGGACCTCAGTTGTAGTGAAAAACACCCAGCTACATTCCGTGTAGCATGGAAACGGCAGTTAGTTGCATTTCCTGTTAAAATGTGTCGTACCGCCCTCGTGCATCCTATACATGTCATCGATCCTCGTCTCGGGCAGGTAAACTCCACAGCGCTGCGTTGTCTCACCACCGTATCGTGTCGTTGTGTGCTGTCCGCTGTCTTGATGGGGCCGGTGTCCCACCATCAGTCAGCAGCGCTGTCTTGTCCGCAGGCGCTCCACGACGAGATCAAGTCTCACCACCGTATCGTGTCGGGTGTGTGCTGCCTGCTGCCTTGATGGGGCTGGTGTCCCACCATCAGTCAGCAGCGCCGTCTTGTCCGCAGGCGCTCCACGACGAGATCAAGTCTCACCACCGTATCGTGTCGGGCGTGTGCCGGCTCTGCAATCAGCTGTCCGAGGGTGGCGCCCGCCGGCGACTGGCGCGTGTGGCCGACCGGCTGGACACCAGCTGGCAGCAGATCTTCCTGCGCGCATACGAGTGGACCTGCCACCTGGAGGGTCTGCTCGACCAGTTCAAACAGGTCAGTCCCAGTCAGGCAGATGGTCGGGCGGGTTTACAGATGATCGGGCGGGTTTATAGATGGTCGGTCGGGTTTACAGATGGTCTAGCGGGTTTACAGGTGGTCGGGCGGGTTTACAGGTGGTCGGGCGGGTTTACAGATGGTCGGGTGGGTTTACGGATGGTCGGGCTCGGGATGAAATCGGCATACGGGTTGGTGGTCATCATGCTGTGTGGTCCTTAACGGGCTGTCCTTCGGGATCTTCTTCGAACCGACACTGAAGCTGAAGCCCTGCTGAAGCCGTCGCCAGGCAGCGTCCCGGGGTGCACGCCGGCGGCGAGCCGCTGATGCTAAAGTGTGCGTGACTGCGTGCGTGCGGCCCGACAAAGGCACATGGCTCGGCCGGGTCACGTGTGGCTGGGTGGGGTGCGGGCGCAGGCCAGCCATGATGCGCCATATTGGCCCTGAACGCGCGGCGTCGGAGGAGCGGGCGGATCTGCTCATTTGGGAGGCAAAGCGGCCCGTGTCGCGCCCCAGTGCGGTGAGCGCCGCTCGGAGGTGTGACCTGGGACGTCGCCACGGCACGGCACGGCACGGCACGGCACGACGCGACGCGACACGATACGACACGACACGACACGACACGACACGGCACGGCACGGCACGGCACGGCACGGCACGGCACGGCACGGCACGGCACGGCACGGCGGCACGGCACGATACGGCACGATACGGCACGACACGACACGATACGGAACGGCACGGCACGGCACGGCACGGCACGACACGATGCGGCACGGCACGGCACGGCACGGCAGTGCCGCCGCTCACTGCTCGTCTCTGTGCGTGATCGGTGATTCTCCGAGATCTTGGGTTAATTTTCGAGCACGCGGGACGCCAGCCAGTCCGCTCTGACCTTTGAACTTGAGACCGGGGGCGCTATTTTGTGTGACGGCTGGTGTTTGGTGAGTGCTGTCTGAGCTCCGGACGGCGCCTCACTGCGGTTCTCCGTCAGCTGCATGCGATAGCGTGTTGAACAAAGCCCTGCGGGGAATAACAGTTACAGCTGCCGCGAGGCACGGCTATTTACAGCAGTCATAACTCAGTGGGCAGCAGTGCCAGCTCGTCAGCCTGCTGTACCTGCCGTTTTTGTGTGCCAAGTCCGCACCGGCCGCCGGCAAGCGGTCCCGATGAGTGGCGGTCGTGCCGCACGGCCCATGTAATGCATGTGGGAACGAGGGAGGTCCGGAGCGGGCAGCGCCTCTGTGGGCCGTACCATTATGTCGGGATTAGCCTGCGGGTCTGCTCGGTCACGTGCAGAGCTGACTGCCACCTGCGTCGCGTCACGCGCCTCGCCCCGCTCCCGATCCCGGCGCGCTGATTACGTACCCGGCGCATTGTGTCCGTCTGGCGCCACATACAGACGGCTTTTCACCGTGCTCGCGACCCGCCATTGATCGCCAGCCACCGTAAATTTCCCATTAGCTGACATTCGTTCGTGCATAAATTCGCAGACTCATGCTGTCTACTAGCTACGGGCAATCTCATGCGTTGTGCCCCGTCTATTGCGCCTAAAATCGGGGCATTTTGCAAAGGGTGTCATTGTCGCTTGCCCAAACATGTCGCATGGTTGGCAGCGCGGCAATATATTTTGGGCTTAGGCTGGCCTTATTGAAATGTACGGAGCACTTTCGTCCACCTGCTGTAGGGACGAAATGGATGGGCACAAGCGGGCGGAGCAAATCAGTGCTCACGGCAAACAAAACTGAGGGAAACACGGCGTTCATCCCTCCCCTCCGTGTAAACTGGCTGGTCGGTTCGCCCAGATGGAATAAATTGTGACGGATTGTAACCGGATGAAGACGAATGGGCGCGGGCAGGGGAAGGGTGCGCCGGCCCCCTGAGACCCGTCCGCTACGTCCTGCCTCAAGTGCCCTTGTGTGAGGGATGGCGTGATGGCGTCAGCGGTCCGTGCGCAAGGGGCGCGCGGCGCTGGCTCCAAGCTGACGATCGGCCGCCGCGCCGGCGGGCCGCTGCCAGTGCGCTGCACCAGCGGCGTCCCGGCGGCTGCGGCTCGGCGGATGGCCGAGCCGTGCTGAGGCGGCACCGGACGGCCAGCGGCCGGCCCTGTTACAATCAGGTCACGCCGCCGACGGAGCGACCCGGCGTGCCGCGGCCGCCGCACGTGATGGTCGTTGCCGGCGCCGCCGGCCGGCGGGCCTGCGTGCGACTCGGTCCGAACGGCCGGTACGTTGTGTGCCGGCTCAATAGCAGGATGTGCTCTGCACGCTGGGGTCGTCCGACTCCGGGCGAGCCGAGTTGGCCGGCGTCACGAGCAGGAGTCAGGCGTCAGCACGGACGAGGTCACCGGGTCACGGGCTGGGACCGGGCTCATTGTCTTCTGGCCTGCTGCCGGAGCGGTGCTCGGCGGCGGCACCGGAGGTCAGTCTGGTACAGCGCCGGCTGCGTCGGAGCGCAGCTGAGTGCGTCGTTAAGTCCCAATGACGTCAGGGTGCACCGTACGCCCTGGTGACCGTGGACAACAGTGACTGGCCGACAAGCCGGGCTATGATTCAGCACTGCTTAGCCGTTTAAACGATCTGACCAGCATAACGCGCCGACGGAATGGTACCTCCATCCTGCGGCGCCATGCAGAGCCGCGAGCGTGGCCTCCTTGTGCGGCGCCGGCCGCCGTCGGAGGGTCGTCACTCCGTCAGCCCGGCGGCGCCGGTGTGCGCAGCGCCGCCTCCCGCGCACCGCCCCGTCGGTGCCGACGCGCCGCCGAGCTCCCTGTCCCGCCTCTAAACGCACTGTGCGTCCGGCCGGCCACTCTGCGCGTGATTCTCACGCCAATGCAGCACCGTGGCGCGCTGGCCGCCGATGACTGTGCGCGTGCTCGAGCCGGCGCCCACGCGCCCTGAGCCTGCCGGATGGCGCGGTGCTGCCACCGAGGGCTCGCCAGGCTGTCCCAACGCACTTCGGCTGCCGCTGTGGCGGCCTGCATGCTGTCCTCGTGGTCACCGCTGGTGTTTGTCGATATCTGGACGAGGCCCGCCTGAACAGCCGCGCCCGCCGGTGGAGGGTCGGAAGGCCAAGGCGACGCTCAGAAGACGGGGAGGGGCGCCTCCTCCAAGGCCGCGCCGCCGCTGGCGGCCCGTAAGGCGCAGAGCACGGCGCTGGGCGGCGGCTCCCCGCCGTCAGGCGGGCGTGGGTTGGCGCCGAGGCGTTCGACGTCGCTCAATAGATGCTTTAAGCTGACGGCCGAAGACAGCCGCCCCGCCGACGAAAAGCCGGCGATCTCCATAGAAATGGCCGCGACCTCGCTGGGCGCCCGGGTCATGGACAGTGGAGGGCGATCTCATGAAGATGCCCGCTCTCCTGTCGAATGACCACAATGCGTTACTCGCCTGTAAAATACTTTCATCTCACAAACACCTGCGTCTGGTTTCGTGTCCGTTAATGGCTCGATCTCAGGAGCGGAGTAAGGCGCAGACAGCGACGCTGGCCGGACGGTGGAGTCTGTCACCGGCGTGGGCCGGACGGTGGAGTCTGTCACCGGCGCTGACCGGACGGTGGAGTCTGTCACCGGCGCGGGCCGGACGGTGGAGTCTGTCACCGGCGTGGGTCGGACGGCCGAGCCTGTCACCTGCGTGGGCCGGACGGTGGAGTATGCCACCGGCGCGGGCCGGGCGCACTGCGAGCGTTTCGCTCGCTGATTGCGCCTCGAAGCGGCGCGATCCCAAACTTGATGAGGTCGTTAGTGTACCGCCTTTGATGTGGGCGCTGGGCGATTGGGGCGGCCGGCTGCTGCGTGCAGCGTCGACGGTCTGGACTGACCGGCCCGCCAGCCAGCGGCGTCGTGCTGCCGATGGTGCGTGTCGGACGCGGCGCCAGCGGAACGGCCCACGTCCGGCCGTTAGGTCGACCAGAGGTCAGCCGGCGCGACCCGAGCCGGAGACGGGACCGGGAGGACTCGCCCTGGTCCGGAGACCGACCGAGAGCGGCGCCGTCGCCGTGCCGGCGCCTAATTCGAGCCATTGTCGCTGAGCGCGCGCGGGATTGTGTGCGGCGCTGTTGTGACACGGCGGCCTGAGATCAGTCGAGCGGTGAAAGGAGACGCGCCGCATGCAACGCCGTCGGCAGCCGCCCTCTCTACGGCGATTGAGTCGTGTCGCAAGACGCGTGTCGGAAGCCTTTGTGTGACGGGTCTGGCAATGTCGGCCGGCGGTTCGGCAGCGCCGGAAGTGTGAAGACCGCGGACGTCCATGCGGTCCGCTGGTGACCGGCTGAAATTGGGTGAGACTTTACCTGGTGTGTTCCGGAGCGATCCTATTGGCTGACGACCGTCACGTGTTATCGACCCCTGGTGGCGCCACGTATCCTGATGGGGCACACACGCCCTTCCCTCCCCTCCGGCGTTTTAAAGCCCGCGCACACGTCCCCGGAGATAATTGTCGGGAAAATAGAGGTGATTGAACTGGCGGGCGTACGGAGCGGTCCGCATTCGCGATAATAACTAGCTTCATGAGCGTTGGGCTTTTTAATACGATGACATATCCCTCCGGCATGAAAATCGATTTGTAGTGTGCACGTGCACCCCCCTCCCCCCCCCCCCTGTAACGGTACTGGCTGAACTGGAGCGTGGCTCTCGTGACTCGTGTCCGGCCCCCGCCCCGCCACGCCGGCCCTGATAGCCCCCCCCCGCCCCCCCCCCCCCCCGGCCACGCACATACACACACATACACGCATACACCCTGCGAGCTGGCGGCGCAGCTGATGATTTCATCACTATCCCTCGGTAGCCGCTGGTGACGTCACTCTTTCTTGGGGAGCCGCTGGTGAGGTCACTTTTCCTTGGGAACCATTGGTGACATCGCTCTCCCTTGTGAAGCCGCTAGTGACGTCACCCTCATTTGGGAATCACTGGTGACGTCACTCTTCCTCAGAGGATCGACTGGTGAGGACGCCACTCCTCCTCGGAGGAGCCGGTGGCACCGTGTGCTTCATCAGCGTGTCGCTGACGACATCCCCTGCTCGGATGAGCCGCTGTCGGACCCACTCTACCATGGCGGGGCAGACCGGGTCCGCAGCTGATTAGTGAGAGCGGGCAGGGGGGGAGGGGGGGGGGGATCTCGCCGTTCATGGGCGGATGGCCGCGTGTGCGGGGCTTCTGGAATGGAATGGGATCGCTGACGGCTGGATATTAGACCCTGGCGGCCGGACGACCCGGCCACCCCTGCCGCGGTGACCGCGCCGGCCCAGCTCAGGTGCGGCCGGACGACCCGGCCACCCCTGCTGAGGTGACGGCGCCGGCCCAGCTCAGGCGCGGCCGGACGACCCGGCCACCCCTGCTGCGGTGACGGCGCCGGCCCAGCTCAGGCGCGGCCGGACGACCCGGCCACCCCTGCTGCGGTGTCGGCGCCGGTCCAGCTCAGGCGCGGCCGGACGACCCGGCCACCCCTGCCGCGGTGACGGCGCCGGCCCAGCTCAGGCGCGGCCGGACGACCCGACCACCCCTGCTGCGGTGACCACGCCGACCCAGCTCAGACGCCGACACGGGCGCTCTTCAGCGGCCCCGCGCCGGCGGCGCTCAGCGGAGCATGCGGGTTAGGTTAGGCTAGGTTAGGTTGGTTGGATCAGTAAGCTCCTGTGGCCCGCATGAATATTTGGAAATGCGTGCGTAGGTTGTGAGGTTTAAATCTAGCTGAATTGATGGATACAAAATTATGCAGCTCACAAATGATAGGACTGACAGAAGGCTCTCAGCACTGTGATACACTAGGGGAAATGTTTGAGCTATGCATTGACCCGAGAGGAAAAATCCTCAGGCCCCGTCCTTGAAAATTATATGATTCGCAAACATGACACTAATGTGATGGCACTTGACAGCGGTCTTCCTCTTTGACCTGATATACCTTCAGTCTGTAACCTGACTGATAATTTGCGTAGAGGTGTCCAGGAACTGTCCTTTCCACCACGGGCGTTTCGGGCGCCGGCTGCAACTGCACGGCGGCGCGGCAGCGGCGCGTTCTTGTCGTCTCCCCGTTCTTGTCACCTCTCCGTTTCTCGAGGCTAGTCCACAAGTTAAAATCGTGCGCTTTGCTATCCCTTGTTTACTTAATGTGGTGAACGTTGGCATATTCCGAATATCTGGCCACCAATTACGGCATTGGAATGCTCGCCGAATGGGAATATTTGCTTGTGTACCGGAGTCATCACGATCCGAATGGTCAGCCACAGTGGTTATCGCCACGTCGGCTCAGTCGGCCGTCCGCCGTGACCAGAGGCGGCCATTGTTTCATGCGATCGCTGATGTTTGGAATGTCGTCAAATAGCTGGCGCGTAAGGCCTTGCCAATGCCGAGTGGACGTTCGCCCGCCAGCAGGACTCGATGGCCTGACAGCTGTCAAGCTTTGGTGCGACAGAGAAATTGTTCGGACAGATCTTTGCGGTCGACGAAATGCGACCGGGTTGTAGCCGTCTGCATCAACAGCGGCGCCCGCTCTGCTGTGACATTTGATAGGTTACATTTCACTTGAGAGTATCAAAGCGTCATGACCATTGGATTGTATATTGCCGTGGGGGGCTGGGTTCGAATCCCGCTAGAGACGTGGCCCCTGAGCGCCAATATGACTGCAGTCGGGGACATTTTATGAAAGGGCACGCGACGACTTGCGTGGCGTTACCTTAAACAACGCGTCGTGTCCGGAAAGGTGCCCGGCGCCCCGTTTTAGCGCAAAAGAAAGTGGGGCAGCGTGAGCGCCGTGACCTCTGTGAGATGGCCGCGCGCTAGCGAGGACAGTTGTGTCGGCGACTGCTTATCGGCGGCTGCTCGCTGCGGCTGTGGCTGCTTCTGTAACGTCGCCAACGCTCGGGACGCTCCATTTTTGCCGGTCGTTTGGGGAAAGGGGGCGATGGCAGGCGGTTTGACTCGCCCCCGGATGTGACCAATCCGCCGGCTCTGCCGCAGTTTCACGCGCCGGTTTGGTGGGGACGTCGCCCCTCCCCCCGCCCCCCCCCCCCCAGTAGCACGCGTAGTTTGACAGGGGGAGCTTCACTACCCTGTCGATGTGAAGGACCTTTCATGTTAACCACCCATTCGGTTTTTGTACGCGGCGCTTGTGAATGGGGCCTGCTCTGGCCAGATGTGGCTGCTCTATATGCGTGTGAGCGTTTCGACTGTTTTTAACGCCACCTGGATGGTACCCGTCGCCACAACAGCGGGCCTGCAGACAGGCTGGCTGCGCTGTTCCGGCGGACGAAACCGTGTGCGGCCGGCCATGGGCAGTAAACACGTCATAAAGTTCGTCGCTCGGTTCAAAACAGAAGCGTCGACGGTGGGCGCCTCCGTGACGGATGGCCGCCAAAGCGCTGACCTGATGGCGATGGCATGCCTCGGCCGTAGCGGCTGGGCCAGCACGTGTGGCGTGCGCTGCGTGGCGCGTGAGAACGCCTTGCGCCGCCGGTGGGAAACAGGCGAGCCATGTCCGCCGGCGACAGCTGCTCCGCCACGTCACGTCACGTCACGTCACGTCACGTCACGTGGCCGACACCGAGCGCGGACGGTCGGCTGGCTCCTGGTGCGGCCGCTGCGAATTATGCGAGACCGCCCAGCACCCGACGTCGGGGAGGGGAGGGGAGGGGGCGGCGCATGGAACCGGAGGCAGCCGCAGAGATAAACAGGCAAAGGGGAATCGCCATCCCATCTCTCACACTGGCGAACTGTGCAGCCATGGTCAGGGGTGGTAAGGTGGGCTTGTATTTGTCTGTGATAGTTTTGTTACACGATGCGGTGTCTGTGCCTTCTGAACAATAGTTCCAGGAAAACCTGAGTGGTGAAGTCAGAGAGCCTCAACGGAAGCATCCCATAGCGATGCGTACTGGCGGGTGATGAACCTTTCTGTGCACAGCGGGGCCCTTCCCAGGATGGCTTTCCTATTGACGCGTGTTTGGAATTTTCTGCGCGTTTCTTTCTCCCATATCTCCGTGCCATCACTGAGCTGTTCGAAGGCCACCTCACGTCTTCGACACAATGGCGACGCTTCATTGGTCCAGCTGTCCTTGGGGCGTCGGTGCCACGATTGGGGGCCTTTCTCGCCCCCGAGAATGCGCCGTGCAGTCGGAGATAGCGCCGGAATGTGCCGCAGATCGCGTGTCCGCGGCGCCTCCCGTGGGCAGGCGGCGGCCGCGACCGCTGATGACGTTAGCGATGCCGGGTCGGCTGGCGGAATGTGCTTGTGTGTCGGGGGCCGCCGACAAACGGTGCCCCGTCCCGCCCCCTCTCCGTCCTGTGACCGGCCCTCGGCTCCCTCCCTTCTCCCGCCTGGTATTCACATGGCGCCGGTGGCTACCGGTGGCCATACTAGAATGACGCCAGAAAATATGGAACAATAGTATCAGCACGGGTCGTTCAGATGTTTCTGGGCGGATGGTCGTGCCGTGCTGCGTCTCAGATGGTTTTCTGTGGTGCGCCTCTGGACCCAGCTCTCCAGAAACGGGGCTCGATGAGACCTCTCCCCTCCTCCGCCACTGTGTGCCCGGCTCCGATCCTACACTGCACGGGACCGGCCCAGCTCGACACGCCGGGTACGCTCCAGTGCGGCGTCTGGAGCGGCCGCACCGGTGAGTCACTGGCCGCGGCTCGGCGCGTTCTTCTGTGGCCGGCGCCAGCGGGACTGCTGTGGTCCGGTTTCAGCGGGACTGCTGTGGCCCGGCGCCAGCGGGACCGTTGTGGTCCGGCGCCAGCGGGACTGCTGTGGTCCGGCTCCAGCGGGACTGCTGTGGCCGGCGCCAGCGGGACTGCTGTGGTCCGGCGCCAGCGGGACCGCTGTGTTCCGGCGGCGGACGCGCGCTCTCCGGCGTCCCGGCTCGCGCGGACCGCGCGCCGGCGTGGCCTGTGGCGGCCGGGGACACGGCCGATGACAAACGACCGCGCCTCGCCGCCGGCTGGCCGGGATGACTATGGCGCCTATTGCGCGGGTGTGTTGCGACGGGCGACCTTGGCGGCCGTCCTCGGACCGGCCGTCGGAGGGACGGCTCGTCGGACAGACGGACCGTCCCTCCTGGCGTTGCGGTGCGGCCGTCGGTGGTCAGTTGATGTGGCATCGAGGCGAGAGGCCGGTGTTCTAACCCAACCGCAATCGAAGGCTGCCGTGGCATTGCGTGACGGCGATGCTCGCGGCGCAGGCTCCTGTCTCTGCGGATGTTTTTCCGTGGTGACGGCGCTTTCAGGGCGTGTCTCGTCATCGGTTCTCGTGCTCCGGGCAGTCGGTACTGTGAGCCGACGCCTGCTCCGCCCCTCGTGGTAGCCCGTTGCGCGTGTCGTTGCTATCAACTGACGTGGATCCTCTGCCCCCTGGAGTAACGCGCTACGCGTGTCGGTACTGTAAGCTGACATCTGTGCTCCGCTCCTCAGGGTCACCTGCCGCGCGTGGAGGACGGCTATTCGGCGGACGAGGACGAGCGCGAGCCCCAGAGCAAAGTGCGCCGACTCGGGAGCTGGGACGACCCCGCCTCGGCGCACAGCATCCACTCAGACGCCGGCTCCTTCTTCGAGGTGAGAGGCTCGCTCCCGCCCCGCTGACCACTCCGAGGGCGATCCGTCACCCAGCAGCGCAATACTCTGAAGCCAGAATAACGATGGCTGCCTAATTTTCGTGGCAGCTTGGTCATGAAGATGCTAACGATCTCAACCATTACTCAATTAGCGTTCCTCCAAGATCGACGAACGTTCTGTCTTGGGCAGGCGCTCCTCCAGGAGCTGACGGCTGCCTTGTCTCGTGACGGGCGTCCCTCCAGGAGCTGACGGCCGCCCTGTCTCGTGACAGGCGCTCCTCCGGGAGCTGACGGCCGCCCTGTCTCGTGGCAGGCGCTCCTCCGGGAGCTGAAGGCCGCCCTGTCTCATGACAGGCGCTCCTCCGGGAGCTGACGGCCGGTCTGTCTCGTGGCAGGCGCTCCTCCGGGAGCTGAAGGCCTCCCTGTCTCATGACAGGCGCTCCTCCGGGAGCTGACGGCCGGTCTGCTCCGGGTCGCCGCCACTCGATTGTGCAACGCTCAACAGCAGCGTAATCCGTTCGATGGTGCGTGCCACACTCCCAGTTTGGAAACGCCGAGACCGCGTGAGAGGTTACCTCGCGGTCACCCCAGGCGAGACGGCCGGCCGGCCGTGACGTTGGCTTCTTTGTGGGCCTTTCATCACTCTCTGGAGGCGCTGGGTGGAGACGTCACGTCCTCTGAAGAGCCCAAGCGCTTGTCATGGCTTGTAACTGGTGGGCGCAGCGTGGACCTCTGGGAAGGAAAGGGAGTCCGCTGTCTATCGCAGTAGGGCGCCCAACTGGGGACGAACGGTCTGATTCACTGACTTGATTGATGAGTGCTGGGTGTTCTTAGCGAAGCGGTTAAGGAGGCTGTGAAACGCGGACTGCGCCCTCCGCAATGGTTGAATTACCGCTCGGCTGTCGAACAAGTATTTGGAACAAGATAAAGTGCCGTAAACATCCACGGGACTAACTCGTAATTGGCCAAGCGCGTGCATCAGACCAGTTTGGCCACATTTCCGCTCGCTCTCGCAAGCGCTGCGTTTTAAGGCTGACCTTGATTTCCGAGCTCGCAATACAGAGCCGTGGAAGTCCGGCGACCTTGGCGTGTTCTTGCGGAGCGCTGGTGGCGAGCGCGCCTGAAGTAGTCAGCGCTTCCGGAACGGATCCGGCGGCGGACGGTCGCCCGGGCCCAGCTGTGCGGCGCGCCCCCGATAGGTCACCGCGTGTCGTTATAACGCCTCCGGTCGCCATCAGCTCGCATTCCTTCCACGTCACTGATCAGCAGTGCGGCGGGCGGTGTGACCTCGGCAGCGCGCGACTGGGGAATGCCGCCGATGATGGACTGGTATTCAGTGGCGCGTCACTCATGAGTCGGCGTGCACATGCTTGCCATAACAGATTCAGTGTGTTCTTTGGTCAGGGGCATGTCAGCTGCTGGTGTTGGCAGCCATGCGGCCAGCGAAATCGTAAATAGCATTCGTGTTCCGGCGTTTTGGGGAAAATGCACCAGCGGTGATTGGAATCCCTGAAGTATTTGCAGGTGTTTATGGTAGCATCCGCGAGGGGCGTCGTCACTATCGTGCTGCGCTCAAACCCAAAACACCCGACCTTCCCTGAGTGCTGCGTGTGTTGTCAAAGGTTTGTCCGGTTTACTACTGATCCTAACTCACTGGAGCGCCGCCAGGCGGCAGCACGTGTGCGCGTTGACTCCGTTGTCAGGCGTCTATTGACCAGCCGTGTGCTCGCCGTCTGTCGCGGAGTTGTGCCAGTGGTATGTTACCGGACGACGGCGGCGCCCGCGGAGACACCAGGGCACGCCTCAGGTGGCAGTCTTGTCTCGGCGCGGACCACACCAACCGGTGGAAGCGGCGGCGGGTGGCTGAGTCGAACGACCTGTGCGGCTGTGCGACGGAAACTGACCTGTCCAGCTTCTGGAGGGGAAGCTGACCTGTTCAGCTGCCGGAGGGGAAGCTGACCTGTCTAGCTGTCCGAACAGCCAGGCTTGTGCGGCAGCCGAGCCGTCAGGCGGCTCTGCCGCGGGCCGCTTCACTCAGCACACGGATGCCGGCCCGTCAGCGCCGCCGAGCTGAGGCCGCAGGAGCGGCGTACGCACCGCTGATGCACGCGACATGTTCGTTTATTTGTGCGTCAGTCAGGCCGCCCGGTACGCTCCACACTCCTCCTGATTGCCGACAGGCGTCAGATGGCCGGCTGGCCGCGGTCTGTCACTGGCTTGTCCGCGCGCTGTCCCCGGCCCGCCCCTGGCGTGTTCTCGGCTTGTTCTGCTCTGTCCGCGCACTGTCCCCGCTGCGGCCCGGCCTGTTCTGTCCGCGCGGTGTCCCCGGCCCGCCCCTGGCGTGTTCTCGACTTGTTCTGCTCTGTCCGCGCACTGTCCCCGCTGCGACCCGGCCCCGACTCACCTCGTCCCGTCCCTGCTCTTTCGCGCTGTCCCCGGTTTGCCTCCCTCCTGTCGCAGTGCTGTGCCGTCTCCACCCTGCCCCTCCTAGTGCCCGGCCGACGTCACGTGCTGCCGACGACAGCGGGCGCCGTGCGTCTCCGATGGCGGGAGTCCATCAGGGGGCGGACGCCGCTTTTTGCGGCGATCTGACGGCAATTAGCTGCGTCAGTTTTTGCGCACCGCTCAAGCGGCGCTGAAGGATGACGGCTGGCGGTGCGTGATGAAGACAGACGTGCCGTCCCGGCGCGCCGCGCCGCGTGGTCCTGACGGACTGGCGGTGACGCCGCCGCCGGCGCACGCTGCCCGTAATCCGCCGGTCTGCGACTCATCACCGGCCGCACCTGTCCGCACACGTGGCGGCGGCGGCCGGCCGGGCGCGCACTTGCCGCGGCGGCGCGCCCGGCCGCCGGCGAGCGCGCGCGACGACTGTGACGCCAGCCTGTCGCTGTTGCAGGACGACTACCTGCCGAGCATCAGCGGCATGAAGGTGCTGCAGGCGAGCAACGGCAGCGGCCCGACGACGCCGGCTAAGCGCGTGGAGAGGGAGGTGCTCGACATCGGCTACTCGTCCGAGAACTCAGGCCAGTCGAGCGACTCGAGCGAGGCGGCCGACGTCTCGCCGGGCGCCGAGTCGACCGCCAGCGCGCCCGGCCGCCTCGCCAGCGGCGTGCGCCGCGCCGCCGTCAACGCCTCCAACGTCCGCTGTGAGGTCATCAACGCCGACCTGAACGGCAACGGCTCCGACGCGCCGGCGGCGTCAGATGGTCGCCATGGCGACGCGCCGGCGCCGGCGCCAGGTGGCAGTGGCGGCGCTGGCGGCGTGCCAGGCGGGCGAGCGGACGGCGCCGAGCCGTTCAGTGTCTCGCAGCGGCCGGCGGAGAACTGCGGCACCTTCTACTTCCGACACAGCGACACCGAGTCGGAGGGAGCGCGGCGACGGCTGCGGTACGAGCCTGCCAGCTCGGACCTGGAGTACGCCAGCCCGGCCTGGCCCGACACAGACTCCGACTGGCTCAACAACTCGGGCCTGGACGACAGCGAGCTGGAGCAGATCGGCTTCGCCACGGCGCAGGAGCTGCTCTCCGAGCTGGGCGAGCACGAGGAGGAGGCGGGCGGCGGCGCGGCGGCCGAGCCGGGCCCGCCGGCCACGCGGCCGCCGGCGCCGCCCTGCGACAGCGAGATCCACCGACTGGTGGAGCGGGCCGAGAGTCTGGTGCGCGCCGACCTGCGCCGCAGCCTGCCGCCGCTCGAGCTCCACCGCCAGGTCAAGGCCAAGGGGCGCCGCGTGCGCGAGTGGCTGAGGCGTCAGCACGGCAGGAGGCCCTGCGAGCCGGCCGCCGCCGCCGCACCCCCGGATGTCAGTGGTCAGGTAGGTGGTCGGCAGTGTGGGGGGGGGGGGGGGGGGAAGGGAGGGGGCGCTGACCTGTGGACCCGGGGCTCCTGTCGGGGGTGGGGGCTCGCTGAGACCGGCCTCGGCTGTGATGCCCACTCAGCGCTGTCGCGTCGCCTCTCAGACGACGCCAACATGTCGCCCTGCCCGGCCGACGACAGGCGTTTTGTTCGGCCGGCGGCGGTCGCGCGGTGTGTGCACCTGGTCTGGCGGCCCCGCCGGCCGGCGTTATTGCACGAGGCGGTGTTTACCGTCTGGGTAATGACGGCTGTCGCGGGCTCAGTCCGAGTCGCGTACCGCTCGCTCCGATGGCGGCCAACAGGCGTGCGATACAACGGGGCGGCGTGTCCGGCCGTCCTCTGGAGGCCCGTGTCCGTGTGGGGCGGGGACGGCTCGGGCGCGCCCGGTCGGCCGCGCGGAACCGTCGCCGCTCACCTGCCGCCAGCCGCCGCTCGGCGCTTACGACGGAGGGCTGGCTGGACGGCTCTTACAGAAGGCTAACATAATAGAGACTCTTTCGAATTGTCCGTTATGGCAAGGCTTACGTTCAGAATACCCATTTGATCTAGGTGTTTGCTGAGAAGACCTAGCTGACCATGGCGTTCGTTCAGAAGACCAAATAAAGTCATGTCGGTATTCAGATTGCCTTCATCACGATTTGTCTTTCAAAGGTATACTTGATTATGTCATATGTCCGTTAGGAACACATGGCCTTAGTTTGTGTTTAGGTAGGCCATTTGATTATTACTTGTGTTCAGAGGTGTACTTGTTCAGCGTCTGCGTTCGGAAGACCTAATGCAGCAAAGCTTGCGCTTCGAAGACCCATTTGGTTGTGTCTAGAGGAAGCAGACCTGAGCACATGATCAGGCAGACCTCCAAAGCAAGCAACCTGATCATGTATGCCTTTTTAATGTAAGGGATCAAGTATGTCCTCAGAGCATAAGCGGTGGCACATAATGCCTTCAGAGCATAATTGATATTGTAATCATGATAGAATTAGCACATTCCGCGATCGTCAGGGCACCCTGAACGTAAACATCGCTGAAGAGGAGGTTCTGAGCAAAAGCTTCTGTGAGCATGGTTTACAAACAGGCCTCCTGCACGCAGACTTTCTGAACATCAGCGCTCTCATATAGGCCTAAAACAGGCATTGTAAGCGTCTGTATCTTCAAAATAGTCTTCTTGAAACCAGGTCGTCCACAAATGGGCGTTATGAGAAAAAGGCTTGTGCACGTTAGGCTTCTGAGAAAGCACATTCTAAACCTTGACCTTGTAAAACTTGGCCTTCTAAAGGTCTATCCTTAACATCGGTCGGTCTTTTGAGAATGAGTATCATAGACGTATGCCTTCTGAAAAGGTTTCCTGAAAAAGTCCTTCCAAAAATGCCTCTGTGGTACGCCGCGGACAGGAGCGACTAGTGCTGGCGCTGGCTCGAACGGGCGGATGCCGTGTCCGCGGCCGTCAGGAGGGGGGGGGGGGGGGGAGGTAGCGGCCACGCCCCTGCCGGCGCCGCTCCGGCGGTGGCGTGGTGTGACCGCGACCCGTCACCATCGCCAGTATGACGGTGGCCTGACAGGGTTGGGGTGCTTGATTTGGTGGACCTGCACGTGATCATGGCCTGCACCGGCTGTCCGCCGGGTCCACCTGAACGGGCCACACCAACGCTGGTGCTTATACGCCTATCAGTAACTTTGCCAGTATCTCTGGTAGTCCCCGTCCAGTCTCCCTGGTGGCCCTTGTCGTCAGGAGTATGGCCTGGTGTCCCGTCCGTTTGAACAGGGCCAATAATTGTCCTGCCAAATTGGAGAGGGGGGGGGGGGGCGTAGCCATTTTTGATCCAGCCAATGTCAATCAGGCTAATTCTTAATTTTCAGGAAGTTGAGGGGCTCAGCGCCTCTGCGTTCTGATTTTTGCGCTACCGTGTTCAGTTGACGTCGCGCTCCAAGACATCCCTGATGTCAGTACCCATGAAAAGGAATGAGGGTGGCCGCCGGCCTGTGCAGCCAGCAGACAAATATAGCGCGCTATCGAGCTCCGCTATCGAGCGCTGACACGGCGCGTGGCTGTTGGTATTGATCCGTTCCTGAACCGCTCCGGCTGTGGTCCGCTCCGGAACCACTCCGGCTGTGGTCCGCTCCGGAACCGCTCCGGCCGTAGTTCACTCCTGAACCGCTTCGGCCGGGATCTGATCCCAAACCGCTCGTGAACCGCTCCTGAACCGCTTCTGAACCGCTCCTGAACCGCTCCGGCTGCCTCGACAGACTGGCTGTCGTCGCACTATTTTGCCTCCGCCGTCTTCTTGATCAACAGTCAGACGACAGCGACAGTCACCTACTGGTGTGAGATCAATTCCACGTGCACCCACCAGCGAGCACGTGCTTATCCACGCGTGTGATGTCTCACCTCCCCTTCCTTTCTTTTCCCTTCCTCTCCCCTCTCTGCGTTCCTCGCAGCGCGTGTGACCCCGCCGGGGACCGGCCGGTCCGCCGAGGTGCGCCGTCGGCTGTCGGCTGTCGGCGCGGGCTGAGACGCGCCACCACCGTCGAGGTTCGGTAAATATTATGTCAGCCCGCGACGCAGACGTGACGGATAGTGTCGACCCTGGCACCTGGCGAACTAGTCCGGGGCGGCGTGCTACTGGCACTGGGTCATAAGCCGTTATGACACTAGCCAGTGAATTAATAGCAGACACTATAGCTGACCCATTGCCATGATGATGACCCAAAGCCATTAAAAAGATTTATTGCGTAGCTAATTATATCTGATCATCCTTGGTAACAGCAAGAAAGCCCTAGAGCTCCTAGTTGTTCTTTTTTGCCTTATCCGGACGGATGCTGAAAGTAACCGACATTAAATATACTAGGGTTTACTGGTTAAACAACGAAATCAAGCAATCACAAGGATATCTTTTTCGAATGTGCATATCATGTTCCAATGGTTGGATCCTAATGCATGATTAAAATACTTGAGATGATCTTAATTAATTATTATGAGAATTATCGGTGCTAAAAATATAGCTCATTAGGAAAATAGGGTATTCGCATAATTAGGTATCCTGCTAACTGCCTGATACCGTTCTTCAACCATTATCTGCTGTTCAAGTGATGGTAAGTCAAGAACTAATAACTACACCTGTTGATCACAGTGTAGTTGCGTGTCTTTCGTGCCCGCCGACGGGCGGCTACGTGGCCGGGCGGGCCGACCGGATGGCGCGTGGCGCCGCCGCCCGTCTCCCGTGGCGAGCGGAATTCCTGTCGCGTTTTTGCCGGTGGCGTGCTGTCTGAATCAGAGCCGCCTCGCCCCCCACCGCCGAGGGAGCGCGGCGGCGGCGCGTACGCCGCGTCGGCGGGAGGTGGCCTCTGCCGGGCCTCCCGAGCGGCTCGGTTACCCCAGCCCGCTGCGGCCAGCCGAGCCGGGTCAGAGTTACGCGGGCCGTGACCGGGCGGCGGCGTGCGTCTGCCTGGCGCGGGGTCGCCGCGTCGCGCCGTCCCGTTACGCGGTCGCACGCGGCCGGGCCCGCCTCGGGCGGCGCCGGTGCGTTCAGACGCGACTGACGGCCGCCCCCGGTCGCCGCCAGGTGATGTCGCCGGCGGCGCCTCTGACTCACGCCGCGTGCGCCGCCCGGCACCGCGCCGCACCCGGCGTGTGTTTATACGCGCGCGCTTTTTGCCCGGAGCCTGCGTGGTCTGCACGAGCCACACCTGTGATGGTTTAGCGGGCGCTGTACTTTGCTGTTGTATTGGTATGGGGCAGGGGCAGCTGGAGGAGCTGGCTGTGTTTGGCCAAGGCTTACCAGCCGCACAGACCCGCACAGTCCTACTAGCCGCGCGGCGCGGCACAATGGGGCAGTCCAGTCGCCTACCCAGCCAACGTTGACGCGTTGTCAGGCGTAACAGCGTGTGGCGTGCGGTGCAAGCTGCCGGCCTCCACATCCGGCCGTCGATCCTCCGCCATGGCCACCGTTCGGCTCACGGTTTGAGGGTCACCGGTTCCCTGCCAAGCGTGGCTCGGAGAAGGCCAACGCCTATTGTTTGTCACATACAGCGTCCCCGTTGTCCAGACGGACACCTGTTGGACAGACTGTCTGCCTGTGCGGCAGTGTGCCGCCGACCCATCTCACTGGATCACTGTCACCGGCTGCGTCGACGCGTGTGTCGGCGAGTGGCCTGTGCGGCGGTGTTTCCCAGACGGTCCCCCTCCCCCTTCTGTGGCGGCGGCCGGCGTGGCGCCGTCGGCGGTGCCGGTCCGCCCTCGCCCGCCGCCGCCGGCCTGATTGACAGCCGGCCGGCCGGCCGGCCGCCTGGACCCTGGACACCAAGGCCGTCCAGGCGCGCCACGTTATGTGCAGCTACTGGCATATAGGCGTTTCAGGCCTGGAAAGTGGCCCGCTCGCTGGACGAGGGGAGCGGCGGACGGTGGCGTGCCCCGCCCGCCGTGTGCCGCGCCTCCGGCCGGGTCATAAACACCGCAGCGGGCCGCGGGCCGGCCCCTCGCGCCGCCCCCGCCCGGTCGGCGCGACACGTGCCCCGAGCGGCCGACCGGCGACTTGAACGGACGTCACGCCTGCGAACGCTCGGCTGGAAATCGAGCCGACGTCGGCGCCGTTGGGTCGCGGCGCCGACTGCAGTGCCGTGCGGGCCAGCTGACCTGATGACGGCAGCCTACCATTGGGAGGGATGATAGCCTGCCCAGCCGTCGGGCAGCCGGTTGCACGGCGCTATCGTGCAGCGGCTGATGTGTGGCGCGCTCGGTGGCTCGTCGCCCGGCGCTGACAGGTGGCTGGCAGAGGGCCGCGCGTCGGGCGTGACCGATCGGCGGCGTTCCGTGCCGCCACGGCCGGCGGCTGTGAGCGCCGGTAAACGCCGTGTGTCGCGCGGCTGATTCGATCGAGCGGCGCCGGTCCTGGCCGTCGTCTCCTATGTAGACCGGCTGCGGTGATGGACAGTCCGGCCGGTGACCGTGCGCGCGCTGCCCACTTCAGGCCGCTCCATCGGCCATCACCGTGCGGGCCTACTGCGGTCGAGGGTCCTGTCATGGCTCACGCCGCCCGTCGCGTGCCCGCGACACGACGCCGGCCTTCCCTCTCGAGCGGCCAGGCTCCGCTTCCTGTCGGCGGCCCCCGCTATCTGCTCTGGAACTTCCGCGCCTGCACGGCTCTCAGAAGCAGGCCACCGCGGCGTGCCCCGCATTGTCGCCCGCGGGCTGGGCCGGGAGTGCAGCACTTACCAGGCGTGTGAAACGGATCCGTCCTCCAGGGGTGTCACCTTGAAACGAGTCCAACGAACACAAACCGAACGAGCTGTGAATGGGGGTCGCCGGCTAACGCATCAAACATGATGACCGATGAGAAATGCAGGGCGTCGACCGCCGCAGTCATGTTGTCGGATTCATATGGGCAGTCCCCGGCTCACACCCCTTCCATTGTGTCGCTTTGCGGCTCATAGACTCACCTGGCGCCACTTGTCCCCGCCCGCCGCCCCGGTCACACCGACAATGCCTTGGTCCCACGAGCTGCATGGCCGGTGGGTGCTAGTCTTCTCTCTGGTAGTTCTGTGCCAGGGACCGCGGTAACCATTGCATGGCCATATGTGCAGGCGCCTACCTCAGTACATGAACAATGAACTGGGACTCCGTCCCCACCAAACAAAATTCAGCGGGAGCCGAGCTTCGAGTCCCGGCTCGTGACTCTGTGGCGGCATCTGACGGGCCGTGCCTGGCTGACTGTGACGGGCCGCGCCTGGCTGAGTGTGACTGTGACGGGCCGTGCCTGGCTGAGTGTGACTGTGACGGGCCGTGCCTGGCAGAGTGTGACTGTGACGGGCCGCGCCTGGCTGAGTGTGACTGTGACGGGCCGTGCCTGGCTGAGTGTGACTGTGACGGGCCGTGCCTGGCTGAGTGTGACTGTGACGGGCCGCGCCTCGCTGAGTGTGACTGTGACGGGCCGCGCCTCGCTGAGTGTGACTGTGACGGGTGACCTGCCGCCGCCAGGTGACGGACAGCAGCTGTGACGCCAGCGGTGAGTACACCACCGGCGAGTCGGACGCCGAGACGGCCTCGTCGGCCTCTGAGGACCTCACCTGCAGCATGGTCACATGCCACGAGCTGGCCACGCCCACCAACGCACCTGCCCCTGGCGGCAGTCCGGACGGCGCCACGCCCAAGGTGAGCAGGGGCCCCGGTCAGCGGGCCTGGCAGCCGGTGGCGCACAGTGGAACTCGGGTCCGTTCTTGTGGCTGAAACGAAACCGGAAAGGATAGTGTTTCAGATCTTTCGCAGTTCATAAGCACCTGCCTCTGATATATCCTTGCATTGTAATAGCTTAAACTGTCTGAAGTGGTTGTATATCCCGGTGCTGGACGATTTTGTGGGCGGTTTTCATCACGGGGAGACGGTTGACCAAGTTGAGCATCGCCGCTGCCGGTGATGGGTTTGATCGTGTTCTCAGCGGCCGCGTGTAGTGATGCTTTAATAAGCTGTCGAAAGAGAGCCGGCTCAGTCGAGTCTGCTCCCGCCGCACCCGTCTCGTCTGGGATAACGCTCTCGCGGGGACCCGCTGGCGCCGGCGGACGCCTGAGGTCGGGGTCGGTGGTGACACAGGCGGCCTGTCCCCACCAGGTGGTGCTGCGCAGCAAGAAGCGCCGCTCGGGCGAGCGGCCCTGGAGCCTGCACGGCCTGACGTCTGCCGGCCGGCCGCGCGCCGCGCCGCTTTCCGTCTCCGAGACGGCGCTCAACGAGATGGTGACGCCGACCGCCGAGAAGGGCGTCACCTCCAGGTGCGCAGTACCCTACCCTCCTCTCCTCGGCCGCCACCGTGCTGCTGCCGCCCGCCTGCTCAGTAGTCGTAGCCGGGCACCAGCGCCTGCCGTTAGCTTCTCCGTGATCTGAGACTGACACTCCTTTACTTGTGAGCTACGGAAAACATCCGGCCGTCGTCTGGTTCCGCTGCGACCGGATTCCGGGCTTCACATCCCTCGCGCTCGATCTGCGGTTCACGGGGCCCCTTTGGTCGGGTGTGCCCAATCACCTGTCTGTTGCCGGGGCTGTATGGTGCTGCCATCGCTTCCCGTTCCAATAGCGTGTGTCGGCGCTCCTCTGCCGCGCCCGGTCGTCGTGCACCAGCGGCGGGCCGCGTCTGGGCCGCGTCTGTCGGCCTCGCTCAGTCTCCTGAAGTGTGGAGCGGTCGGTCGGCGGGCAGCGCGTGCTGTGTACACAGCGGGCGACATGTGGCGAGCGTCCCGTCCGCCGCCTGTTTGTGTGTTGAGGGCGCCAGCTGTGATTGCCTGTCAGGCGGCGCCGGGCGCGGCCGCTGCCGGCTGCGGCTGTGTCGTGCGCGCGCGCCCCACCCCCACCCTCGCTCCTCCCCCTTCCCCCCCCCCCCCCCCACCGCTCGGGCGTCCCGGGACGTCAGCGCTGTGCCCGGCTCTGCGTATCGGTACCAGCCACGTGAGTTGTGTGAATGTGACCGTCTATGGCCGGCCATCCCTGCTGCTGAGCCGCGTTTGCTCCGTTCCTGGTGTGCTCCGATCGCCGCGCGCGCGGATTTGCCACAAGGCTGGAATCGCTCTGCCGGTTGATCCAGTGCTCTGACTAGGTTCTGCGTCTGATATTTTGCCGGCTGCTTTGACGCTCTGTCAGCTGATCAGACGCCTCGGCTGCTGATCTGACGCCCTGCCGGCTGATCTGACGCCCTGCCGGATAGTCTGACGCCCTGTCGGCTGATCTGACGCCTGTGTGTCGACAGCTCGAGCAACACCACCGTGTCGGCCGGCGCCATCCCCAAGAGGCTACCGAGCTCGGTGTCGTTCGACTCGCCGTTCTGGTCGGGCCGGCGCCGCTCGCGGCCGCTGCGTCCGACGGCGGCGCACAGCTCGGGCAGCGAGGCCGGCGGTGCGGCCGGCTCGCCCGTGCACCGGCGCCGGCGCAGCCTCCGCTCCTCCGGCAGTGACGGCGAGCGCGGCCGGAACGGCGCCACCCTGCCCGCCGCCGGTCAGTACCGCCGTCGGTCAAGCCTCGGCAGCAGTGGCGAGATGGCGTCGGCCGTCGGCGCGCCAGCACCCCCTGCCTTTTATTGCCGGGAGTTAAAGTCTGTCAGCTCACGATGCATCTGCATTCATCTCTGTATTTATGCTTGACTGTGTGGTCTCTGTGTATCAGAACCATATCGTGCGTAGTTATAAATCTAACTAATCTTTTCTAATGTGTCACACACTCCTTTTCGCTTTGTGTTCGACCTGTCGTTCCGTCAGAGTTCCAAGGCATAGGATATCATGTCTGTGGGGTAATGCTCCAAGGCAACGCATATCATGTGTTGTTTATGCTTGACTGTGTGGTCTCTGTGTATCAGAACCATATCGTACGTAGTTATAAATCTAACTAATCTTTTCTAATGTGTCACACACTCCTTTTCGCTTTGTGTTCGACCTGTCGTTCCGTCAGAGTTCCAAGGCATAGGATATCATGTCTGTGGGGTAATGCTCCAAGGCAACGCATATCATGCGTTGTTTACTTGTTTGCCGGGGGTTGGTACCTCTGGGGGACGCTGCGGGAGCTCGCAGAGGTATGATGCAGTATCCGTTATGGGAGCGCTATCCGTTTCCCTGAGCGTGCGCTGGCGTGTACGCCCGTCGCGTCCCTGCGCCGTCCGCTGACGGTGGTCTGGCGTCGGCCGACAGAGCTACACCGCAGCTCGCTGCTGTCGTGCGCCACCGAGGCCACCCTGGTGGAGGTGTCGCCGCGCACGGCCTCCGAGGGCTCCTCACCCCGCCACGGCGGCCCGCCGCAGGCCGACGAGGTCGGCTCCTTCTCCGAGCAGGCCTGGGACCCATACCAGGTAGGTGGCGCCACCGGTGCGGTGGAAGTTCGGGAGCCGGGTGGGGTGCACCGGTGGGTATACTTCTGGAGGTCACCTCCAGCATGGTATCAGCAGCGTGGTCCGTTGCATGCCATGCCCGTCGGTGATGCCGATGACCGTGGCATGGGCCGCCCGTCTGTGATGTTGCCTTGGCTTTCCGACTGCCTGAAAGGCCTGGGGAGATATTATAACACTAGTATCTGATGCGATCCTTGGTGTCGTCATATGCGTCGACCCAGCTGCTCTTCTGTCATTCTTGGCGAACACAATGATGTTTTGTGTAATACACATAGTTGTGTTTAATGCAACAGGGAAATATTTTTGCATTAAAACACTTTATGAATGCCTTTCATTAAAACCACAAACATGTCGTAAATTATATAGGAAACACAGACATTGTGTTTCTACGTGCAATGAAGCAGACTAACGTTTCGTGTCATGCAGAGCTGTACCGTCTCAGTCATACCCGGGGCCGACAATTAATGCGAGCGGATCACTGCCTCCCGTTTAAGCCATGCCGATTCCTGTTGCTGTAAAGTCCACACCGTATGGATGGTACCTGAACAAACCGCGGACGTATCTGACCGTCGTCACACACAGCTGGTGTTCTATCTGGTCCGTCAGGCGTGTCCCCGGCGCCTGGGCGTCATACGGCGATCCACATGCTTAGTGTTGGATAAAACGACACGGCATCACATTCACGCGGCGATCGGTTCCCGACGCGCTAGTAGACGACACTTGTCCCTGCCGCCGCCTGGTGGTCAGATGCGCCCGCGTTGTGGTCAGTCCGTTCTGACCCGGTCTGTGGTGGCGGCTGGCCGTCCCCCGCCGGCCGCGTGACCCAGCCCGTGGGCGGTCGGTACCTCCCGCGGGCCTGTGACCGGCCGGGGCGACCCTCGCCGCGTTGAGCCGATCACTGGGGCTGGCCCTTCTCTCTGCTTGTTCAGTTCAGTTTGGTTATCAGTCCAGTTACATTATCGCGGCTACGTCCCGAAATGCTTTTTTCGAACCTAAGTCAAAGAAATACAAAATTGTATTGGGGAGAAAAGCTCGTAATTGCGACACCGCAACCAAGGCACGATGCACAAACCAGCGCAGTAAAGTACACTGAGCTCAGCTATCACCGGAGCAGACGGTGAATTAAATCTGCCTTGATGCGCAACACGTGCCTGGTGTTTGTACGGCGACTGACAGGCGGTCTAACACTTTGGCAGTCTCGTGGCTGAGCCCTCGCTTCCCGACGCTCTTCCGGGCACTGGCCACTTTACGTCGTCCTGTCAAGATTGATGTCCTGTCCTGTTGTAATTCTTTTAAATTAGCGAAACGTCAGTCCTCTTCGGGTAAAAGTGTGGGGTGTGCAGACAGTTGCAAAACGCCTGTGCATCGCGCCCCACGCGGAGAGCAGCCCTTCGGTTTGAGCTGTCGCCCCAGAGCCGACGCACTCCGTGCGTAGTCGCCTCGGCTGACTCTGCGTGTAGTCGCCTCGGCTGACTCTGCGTATAGTCGCCTCGGCTGACTCTGCGTGTAGTCGCCTCGGCTGACTCTGCGTGTAGTCGCCTTGGCTGACTCTGCGTGTAGTCGCCTCCGCCGTGGCGTTTGCGCCTGGCGTCGCGGTGTGGACTTCATGGTCGATCAGCGTTGTCCGGACCCTGTGCTGTGCACACAAACCTTGATTTGACAGTGGTGTGTATCGTAAACACTCGTGGGTTTCTCAAATACTGGGCGTGAAGGACTGTCAGAGGACTCGACTCGACCTGAGTACTCACTGCACCTGGGCCTTTCTCCTGAGGGCGCCGTAGATTCTCCAATATCCGGGGAGCTCGAGTAAACCGCCGTCGTGCCGTGGTCGCGCCCGCGCGGCGCCCGCTCCGGCTGTCGGGCCGCTACGGTTGTCCGTCGCGCCAGGTCTTCTTGACCGTAGCTGATGTCCGGGCGAGCGCCGCGCCGATCATGATCACCGCGTCAGGGCAGGGGCGGGTCGCGGCGGAAGCTGCTTCGGGCCAATCTTCCGAGCAGGACCGGACGGCACCGCGTGTGACCGCTCCCCGCGCTGCGCCACTCCCCGCTGGCACCCCCCGGTAGCGGCGGCCCTGGCTGCGCCCCTGCGCTGGGAACGATCGATGGCGCCGGCGACGCCCCGCCCCCGCCACGCTATTGCGCCGCGTGCTATGCACCAGGGGAGAGATGCGTGCTGTACCGCCGTGCCGCGTCGTACCGTGTCGCGCCGTGTCGTGTCGCGTCGTGCGGCGGGAGCGATGACAGCCGCCGTGCTGGTCCTACTCAGTCTGTTCCACGTGAGTGCCTTGCGTGCCCGGCGCCGGGCGCCGCTCCTCCCGCGTCACTGCTGTGGCGTCGTGTTCGACCGCCTCCATGGGTCGGTAGGCGGCCGCCGCCGAGAGTTCGTTAGCTGGCAACTGCGATAAATCAGGAGCGCCGGGCTAAATCTGGAGACGGCTGAAGCGTCGCGCGCCCACGTGACGCGACGACTCCGCGCTGCTTCAGTGTGGTGTGGCGGCGGTGGCTGAGGTGGTGAGCTGAGCGGCCGGCTCGTTCAGTGTGGTGTGGCGGCGGTGGCTGAGGTGGTGAGCTGAGCGGCCGGCTGCTTCAGTGTGGTGTGGCGGCGGTGGCTGAGGTGGTGAGCTGAGCGGCCGGCTCGTTCAGTGTGGTGTGGTGGCGGTGGCTGAGGTGGTGAGCTGAGCGGCCGGCTCGTTTTTAGGAGCTGAAGGAGGTAACAGAAGTGGGCTCCGAGGGCTCGGTGGACCGCGACGCCGTGCTGCGCCTGCTCGACTGCGACGACTACCGCAAATACATTGACTCGCATTCGGACTGCGCCTCATCGCAGGTCAGCAGCGCGCGCGGCCCGCCGCGCTCGCCGCTCAAGAGGAGCCGCCGGAAGGTGAGAAAGGCGGGAAGGTGGAGAGAGGGGGCAGATACGGCACACTTCCTGCCATGGCGGGCGCCAGCGCCGGACTGAGCCTGTCGTGGCAGGCGTCAGCACCGGACTGTGCCTGTCGTGGCAGGCGCCAGTGCTGCACTACGCCTGCCGTGATTGGTGTCAGCGACGGACTGAGCCTGTCGTGGCAGGCGTCAGCACCGGACTGTGCCTGTCGTGGCAGGCGCCAGTGCTGTACTACGCCTGCCGTGATTGGCGTCAGCGCCGGACTGAGCTTGTCGTGGCAGGCGCCAGCGCCGGATTGAGCTTGTCGTGGCCGGTGTCAGTGCCGGACTAAGCCTGTCGTGGCAGGCATCAGTGCCGCACTGAGCATGTCGTGGCAGGCGCTACTGCCGCGCTGAGCCTGTTGTGACAGGCGCCAGCGCCGGACTGAACCTGTCGTGGCAGGCGTCAGTGCCGCACTGAGCATGTCGTGGCAGGCGTCAGTGCCGCACTGAGCATGTCGTGGCAGGCGTCAGCGCCGTTTGTCATGTCTGCCACTGAGATGTGTCGTTTTGGATGCATGTTTATCGTATAGCTATTGAACTGGTCATCCTTTCGGGTTTGTCAATAACTTGTTCTGCAACCATTACTGATATGCTCTGTCAGCGGCGCCAGCTCAAGGCATGATGGTTATCATTTAAACAACGCTGCGCTTCTTTATTTCTGTGTTCCAACGCATCATTTCGCCCGTCAAAGGGCTGTTTAGCCCTTGACCAGGATGGTTGTGACAGATGTTGTGGGTCGGCAACCCATCCCCTTAGCTTGACTCCACGTCTGCTTTCAGCCGCGGGCGTTGAGCGACTCCCTGGACAGTGACTCGGACGGTGACGGCGTGCAGGCCATCCTGGCCGAGTCGTGCCGGAACCTGGCCGTGGTGCAGACCGAGCTGGAGCGGCGCGCCGCCGACTCGGACGCCACCTATGTGAGTACCTCACCGCCAGGGGCCGGGCGCCTCGGCCCTGGCGAGGCCCCGGCTTCTCTGTGGAGCAGGCGCGTGTGGTGGCGGAGGCTGGAAACAGCACTGCGGGGCACGGCGAATGTCCCTGGTGACCTCGGATGTTCGCCGCATGCGGGGTGACCGCGCCGCCGCCCTGCGGCTGTAGGGGGGGGGGGGGGGGCACGCGGGCCGTCGGCCTGCGAGAGGCGTACGCAGCCTCTATGGTGAGCGGCAGAACGGCTGGGCAGCCTCTTATGTGGAGAGCTGCCGTCGCCGGCCGGCTTCGTACCGGGCTGCTGTCCGAGCACGGCTGCCTGGGTATGGGGCGGTGGGCCCCGACGGTGGCTGGTGGCGCGGTGCCCTGTGGCTTAATCCTGCTATGGAAGCACCACAACGGCCGGGTTGTCCCCATGCAGCTGGCTGACTGTAATTGGCCATAGCCATGAACGACAGACTGGGGTTAGAGTGGGCCAGAGACATGTAATGCACTGAATTGTCTGACGAGTTCAGGTATATCTTTAGCGCTCTGTGTGGCCGGCGGGCGTGGGGAGCCGGTCGACCCGTGTACTCATCGCCGGACTCAGTAGAGGCAAGAGGCAGGCCACCTGCACCTTCCAGATGTGACGATGACAATGACTGCTTCGTCGTCGGTCCAGAGGGGGGGGGGGAGGGGGCGGCTCGCATGGCACCCCGGGACTGACGGCCAATGGCCAGATCAAAGCTTAGCCATCAACATTCGTATTTGAGGGTCCACATGTTCACACACTCAATTTGACGGGGCGCAAATATTTGCTAGCTGCAACCAGATATTGGCTATCATAGGCTTCACTCCAAATATGGATAACTATGTAAAGATATGCCTTGAACTGGCCACGCGCACCATGGAACCTACCAGGCAGTCTCCGGCTAGATTTAGTTTGATTTTTGGCAGCATTCGATAAGATTCAAAGGTCCAGGAAAGACCGGCCAACCCCGAGTGCCCAGAAACCACTTTGTGTGATTGAGTAACGATAAATTTTACGGCGATGCAGCAGCATTATCCCGCTATAAATTTAGTACTTGAGTTATGTTTTGCCTCCAAAAACATGAAGCGGTGAGAAATAAATGACATGTACCGGAACGTTTCATAACGTTTCATGGTCATTGTTCGCTCTGCAAATGCGCTAAGAAATCTGCTAAAATAAAGCTAACGTTGTAGAGATTTAGTTTTTTATTGGCAGAATGCATTGGCCATTATGTCATGACATATATTATGTGGGACATTCCCTTTAATATTGTGTGGAACATTCCATTTTTTAAACACATTTTGGCATGTGGAACATTCCCTTTAAGCTCACACAGTTATTCAGAATAGGGGTGTTTTTTGCTACTTATGCGGCTGGGGCGTCGACCGTAGACACCATAATCGTCAAATCATGTCGTGTTTTACATTATATTGTCTAGAATCCAGAAGATGGTTAGTATCTGGTCACTGTAATAAATTGACTTCATGAATGTGAACCTAAGTGATGATGCTATGCATTCCGCGATTCTACATAGTTCATAGTCCTTGATACCACGTACTACATGTACGCATATAATCCATCTTGATACCACATAGCTTTCTTTGTCAAGACACCTGGCTTATGCAGATGAAACAGTATTGTCTGTTTCCGCGGCTAGATGCCTCTGCCATCGCTGCAGTCGCGCGCGACTGCGTGGGCCGCCGGCGGCCGGCCGGACGGGGGCGGCCGGCTGGGCGGGCGGGTGCAGCGAGCGCTGAAGGTCACCGTCCGCTGGGGCCGCTGCCCACCTGCGACCGCCCGCCCCGCCGCCGGTCAGTCGGCCGCCGCAGAGAGGGGCTCCGCCAGCGCCTGGCCGCCGCGCGCCAGTGATAGTGGAGCGCAAGGTGGAGCGGAGCGGGCCGGCTTGTGGCGTGGAGTGCTGCCCAGTGCGGTGCGCGGGTGCCCGGGGCGGCACGTCAGTCGGTGGTGATCCTACACGGGCCAGGTGTGTCGGCGGCCGGCCCGGCTGGTCCACCGGCCGTGGTCAGACGGCGCGCGCGCGCGTGAGGCGTTCTCTTGTCGGAGCGTGTGAGAGGACGCCACGGTCCTGCCTGCCCGGCGTCGGTTGGCGCTCTCAATTGGCGCGCTTCCTGTGCAGATCGTGAGTGGTGGTGACCTCGGGGATGGGAGGGGGGAGGGAAGAAGGTGGCGGCGCGCGCACCGGCCGGCCGCGCCTCCGCGGGACGCCGGGAGAGCGCTCCGCGCGGCCAGCCGGTGCTCTGCTCTGGGCCATCTCTCATCTGGCGCCCCCTGGGAGCTGTGGACACGCTCAGCGGGAGGTCGTCTGCCTCCGTCAAGGCACCCCACTGTGCTGTGCGTGTTTGCCGACTGTAGAAGGAAAGCCCGGTTGGGATCCGTGGCCGTTCGTTCCATCGGCTCCGTTCGTTCCATCGGCTTCATGTGGTGTCCAGGTCGGGCCGAGCCGTCCGGCTGGGCTCGTTTCGTGGAGTGACCTGGCGCTGCTGCTGCTGCTGCTGCTGCAGCTGTAGTAGTAGCATGTCCTTATGGCGCTGTGGCGCTCTGAGAGGACCGCCCGGCCCCTCCCCATTCCGTTTGCGCGCTGGGGCTCCGGCGTGGCGACAGCCGGAACCGCCGCAGGGGTGCCGGCGGCCGGCGCCGACGCCGGCGCCGCGCCGGACGCCGGTGCCGCCGCCGCCGCTGTAAACAGAGCCCGGGGATCGCGTGCGGCGGCCGGCGCGTCACTGTCGCCGCCTTCGCCGCCGGGGCGGAGCGATCCCGGCCGTACGCCGTGCCAGTACTGCCGCTCAGCGCCGCTCATCGCGGCTCAGCGGACGGCGAGGATCGGGGGGAGGGGGGGGGGGGGGGCGAGACTGGCCGCTGTCGTCTGGCCTGGCGTGCCGGTTGATGACTGTACGACGGCGGCGAAACGCTTGATGACTGGGCCGATCGAGGCGGCGCCGAGAAACGTCACGCGAGGCGAGAGCTGTTAGGCGGCGGGTGCTCCGTTGGCGGGACGGTCGGGGGCCGGTCCATCGCCTTTGTCACGGGCCGCTTCATCGGCTGCTGGGGGCCGGTCCATGCACGCATTTCTCCATCGGCGGCCGGGGGCCAGTCCGTCACACGTGTCTCGGGCATCTCCATCGGCGGCCGTGGGCCAGTCCATTGAAAGTGTCACGGACCGCTTCATCGACGGCCGGGGAAAGGCTGATTTGAATTGCAAACTCCATTCAGATCTAGTGGACGTAGTTTCGCCCGCAGCAGGCGTGGATGAATGCCAGCTGTCCCAGGCTGTTCAAAACAACCTGCGTTGCTTGAGGACAGTGTTTAGCGACTTAAGTAATTAGCATTCCTGGGATAATTGAGTACGCATTATTCCGTAATTAACTAATTGTTTTTCATCGTTTCCGCTTTCGATCTATAATGCTCTTGTGCGTGTACAACTTCGTCGGATTGATTTCCACTAATTGCCTTCTAGCGTGCCGAAAATGCGTCAGCCAAGGGTGGAGACCGTCAGCCAAGGGTGCTATAGAGACCAAACGGGCATTGCCGAAGCCCCAAAGCTGGCCGAAGTCAGCGGCAAGCGCCGTCTACCTTTGAATGAGCGCCAAAATCACAAAACTATTTTTTTAAAACTCGGAACCTGAAATCAACCGCTAGAGGTGTCGTGCTCTCCCAAAAGCTTGCACTTTCGCACACTTTTGCATGCCACCCGTTAAGACATGTCGTCTTGTTTATGTAGCGGCGCTCCTTTGGTGGCCGCGTGGCCTGGTGCCAAGTGATGCCCGGATGTTGGCGTGTCTTGGCGAGCCGGCCCGGCCCGCGTCTAGTCGAGCCTGTGCGGTGTTGTTTGCGTGCTGTGCTCTGCGGACCGTCTCCCCCCCGGCCCGGTACCCTCCGCCTGCTGCGATGTCGTGTGTGGGGTACTGATCGAACCCCGTTTACCTCACATACCCGGTTTACATGGGCAGCCGAGGATAATTCGAATTAAGATCGGAACGGATCATGCGACGTTAACCCTCTCGGCGAGGGGCGTTTACATGGGCGAAACCGGCTTTACGTCGGATTAACGGTCGATAGTTCGATCCCGCTTAGTTCGAATCAAGGAACGCATTATGGGCGAAAACTGCGCTTTTGAGGCGAACTGAACAAAACAAGAAGAAAAAAGCAGGTACTCTGCGTATGGATGGCGAATGTCACGGGCCATGGTGGGCGCGAGACAGCTTTGAGGGCGAGGAGGAAGATGGACTCCGTTGGAAAAATGATCTGTGCGGGACTCATAGGCTTTATAGCTACAGCACAAGCCATAGCACTTGAAACACAAGAGTTGCGCAGTCAGCACTGCCAAATCTGTCACATAAACAGTGTTATATGCAAATTTTTACTAGCGGGAAACTTTGGCTAGCAGGAAATCAGTATTTTCTTGTATTGGCCAACGACACTCACAAACTTACCACACTCATATCAGTATGCCACCCAGCATCATGTCATCTACTTTGCGCAGCCCAAGAAACACATTACCTACTCCCACACTAATGCATTTATGAGCAGCCTGCAACAGTGAGCTAAGCTACAGAAATGACTCATGAATGCTATATAGTTAGTGGCAAAAATTGTGTAACTATGTTGTCTTTCCCCATCCAATGCATCATCAGTACCTGAGGGCAGCATTGCCATTTAGACTTGGCATGGACTGGCAAGTCAGAATGCAGCTATTTGCTTTCTTGACATACTAGGGTTGAAATACTGCTTTGATATCCTTGCAGTCAACAGCATTGGCTGATATGGACTGATGGCTAGGTGGCACAAACAGCTGTGTTCGCACAGTCCAAAGATCATAACATGTGAACCAGCCCCAGAGCTGTCATGACAAATGCAATCTGGGCTCAAAATTCATAACAAATGATTAATTATAACAGCTCAATTATCCACCTCATGGTTTGCAAAGATACATGTCACAAAAAAGCACCAAGGTAACATATTTACTCACCAGTACAAAAACAGGTAATGATGTGCACCACAGATGTTCTCTGCACCTCATGTGGCATTATGTTAGGTTTACTTAGTTTATGCACTGTTTTCTTCCACATGAAATGCACAAACCTGGATTTGACAGAGTACTGATGACAGCTATTTTTATCCAGTGCTCACATTTGCTTTCTTGACATTTTGGAACCATCACTGGGCAATTTTGGCCCCTTCATTAAAAATAGTTCACATTCTGCACTGACTGCAATGATCTATTGCCTATATTTGTTGATCCTTTGCATCATGCAAGAATTATTGAGTTACCTATCTCACACACACTAAACCGACAAGCAACAAACAGCCTAATCGCATCAAAAACAAATATTCCAGCCCCCGCTTCCTTGCCATTTGGTCTACCAGTGTGATGTAGCTTCATATTTCCTTGACGAGCCAGTCACCAATATCCAGCACATCCCTCCTGCCAATAGGTGGTCAACCAAATGTTCAAGTCACAGGAGGAATGTCTGCAAAATCAATCCTGGGGCATTTATGTATTCACTTAATGCAAGAAACTATTGGTACTCCCTGCAAGAATTGTTGAACAGTTCAAGTACCTACCTCATGGCCTGCAGACACCCATCACAAAAAGCACCAAGGTGACATATTTAATCATCAGTACAAAAACAGGTGATGATATGCAACACAGACGTGTTCTCCATGCAGCATGTGCCATCACGTTAGGTGTTAGTTTATGCACTGTTTTCCTGCACATGGAACACACAAACTTGGATTTAGCAGAGTAATGATGACAACTATTTTCATCCAGTGTTCACATTTGCTTTCTTGCTGTTCTGACCCCGTCATTGGGCAATTTCGGTCCTACCATTAAAAAAGTTCACATTCCGAGCTGACTGCAATGATCTATATTTGTTCATCCGTCATATCATGCAGCAATTTTTAAGCTACCTTTCTCACACAAATTTAACTGACAAGCAACCAGCATCCTAATTTAAGGAACATCTGCAAAAACACTCCTGGGGCCTTTAGGTATTAACTTAATGAAAGAAACTTGGAGGCATTCTCTGCAAGAATTTTGAGCAATCCAAAAATTAAAGTGAGAACAAGTCAAAGCTATATAAAATGACCATATTACCTCCATTTGGCTTTTGGAAGCAGGGAGCCTGCCCCAGATGTAAATTAATCTAACCTTTAGGCGGAAAGATAACACCAAGCACCGCCGACGCCTGCTGTCTGCATAGATCACGCGCCTAGCAAGGCTAAATTACGTGAGGATTTCTGTGCTGCTAGCCACTCAAGGCCCTCAATAATAAGGGTAGTTTTAGCAGCATGGTGTCAACTTCACCTTCTTTCTCTTTTCCTTTACCATCTTGGACTTGGACCGTCTCGAGCAATAGCTAAAAACCCGTGGAAAAGCGGCAACACCAAACGAAGCTGAAATGGCCATGAACAGAACTGCGTGCGCCAGGCATTTTTCTTTTTTTTGTTTAGACAGCTGACGGCCGATAATTCGGACGAAATCCCTTCCTGAACGGATGATCCTCTCACGGGAAGGGATTTCCTCCGGCGCACGATTCGAATCAGCGGAACGGCGCGTGAGTGTATACATGGGCCGGATAGTTCGGATCGAGGACGGGCCCTGGCTCAATTCGAATCACAGCTGCCCATGTAAACAGGGTAACAGTCGGGTATCTTAGCTCTCCGCCTGCTGCGATGCCGTGTGTGGGCACTGACCGAACCCCGTTTATCTCACAGTTGGGTACCCTGGCCCTCCAGCTGACGCTGTGTGTGGATACTGACCGAACCCCACTTACCTCACAATTGGGTACCCTGGCCCTCCAGCTAATGCTGTGTGTTGGTACTGACCGAACCCGTTTATCTCACAATTGGGTACCCTCGCCCTCCAACTGACGCTGTGTGTGGGTACTGACCGAACCCCGTTTACCTCAATCGGGTACCCTGGCTCTGGTCTTGGCGAACCGGCCCGACCCGCGTCTGTCCAGCCAGGCCTGTGTGATGTTGTTTCGTACTGTGCTCTGCGGGCCGCACTCCGCCCCCCTCCGGTCGGGTATTCTAGCCCTCCGCCTGCTGCGATGACGCGTGTGAGGCGCTGACCGAACCCCGCTCACCCCGCAGTCGAGTATCGTGGCCACCTGTCGCTCGGAGCTGAACCGGCTGGAGCAGGTGCGGACCCTGGTAGACCCGCTCGGTCTGGGCGCCGACCCCGCCTCGCCCTGCTACAAGCCAGAAGTCGCCGACGTGGCAGGTAAGCCGGCCAGGCCGCCGCGGTGCCAGCGCGCCGCCCGCCGCATAAGTGGAGTGATCGGTGCCCGGCCGTCGGCTAGCAAATGGTTCCCCGATGCTGTCGATGTGTCGATACGCGGTGATCGGACGCTATCTCGAGAGGTCTCCAGCTATGTAGCGGAACGTGTTGTTGAGCGATGGAGGAGGTGATAAGACTTCGGATCGTCCACGCCGCGTCCGACGGTGCCCGGCCGGCAGTGCCAGCAGCACTCCCGCCTGTTCTCTGCCGTGGCCCAGTTTCCGTTCCGCGCGCCGATCCGCGACCAGCTGTTCTCGGCTCGTGTTCGCGCCGTTCGTCTCCTTCGATGCGGCCTGTTTGGTGAGCTGTTTTTCACGCGTGGCCGGTCTCTCCCGGGCGGGGCGGTCGGCTGGTCTGTGTCGTTCACGCTGCGGGCGCCGGCCAACATCTCCGGAACAGAGGCTGCGCCGTCCCGTACTCGCACGTCGGCGCGGCGGCTGACGTGTGCGACGATACGGGCCACGCGCCGCGTGACGACGGCCCTGCGCTGGCGCCCGCGAGACGCTTTTCGTCAGTCTCCACCGTGCATCGCTCCGGTCCGGCGCCGTTCAGATGGTTGTAACTGCCGTGCCAGCCACGCATCTGATGACGACATCCCACGCATCTGATGACGACATCACAGGGGATGACGACGCCTCTGTTTCGGCGGTGCAGATCCCGGGAACGAGTATGACTTTCGGTGACTCGGACTCGGCCAGTGCAGGTGATCCGTATTGTTCCAGCAGCAGCCGCAGCAGCAGACTACGCCGGCCGTGTTTGCCCTGCTGGTCGTGTCAGCGAGCCGGCGTCGGCGTGTTATGTTGCCGCCACCGGCTCCTTCCTTCGCGTCCGGTTATGCCGCGTCACGCTTAGGGAGAGGTGTTGGCTGAGCTCGCACCCCTCAGCACGCGGCGGCCCGCCGCGGCCGGGCAGGGGACGGGACCGCCACGCGCAGCCGACAAAGTAACCGCAGCCGCTCCTTTCCCGGCAGTCAGCGGCGGCTAATGGACTAGTGACGTCACTAGGGCAGACAATGGAGGCGTGCGGGTGCCAGCCCGGCACTCCGAGCGACTGGGGTCCCTCACTGAAGCGCACCCCACCACTGCAGGCCTGCGTGGGATGGCCACGATTGTCCGTCACGATTGTCAGACGATGCGCCGTCATGAGCTCAGCGCCCGTCGTGAGCGGCGCGCGGTCACCCCCGCTGGGGCGGGCTGACCGCGAGCCACGCGCCGGGCGCCGCTGCTGGTGTCCGGCTGGCCAGCAGCGGAGGCGTCACAGCCATCATCCGGGTAGTGTCCACTCGCTGGCGAACACAGTCAACACTGTCTGATCAGTGGACACACCGCCCTTTGGCGTGCCCGGTCGCCGGCACGGCCTGTGCCGCTCTTGTGTCGCTCCGTCCCTTCTCTGGCGTCACGCTCCGCTCTCCGCCCTATGGACCGCTCACTGGCCGAAGCGACGCATCTCCCCTCCGCCGTGCAGGGGCAGCAGCGGGCGGCGGCGCCGGCGGCGGCGGCGGCGGCCGGGTCGGACCGAGGTGCGGCCCCGCCCCGGCTGCGCGTGCGGGGTCCGCCGCCGCCGCCGCCGCCGCCAGTCGCCGGTCGGCTCGCCTGACGCGCGGCGGCAGCGGGCGCACGCGCACGGCGCGAAAGCCGAGTGGTGGGCACGTGCGGCCGCACGCGGCTCGGGTGGTGTCTGGAGCGGCGCTGAGTGGCGGCCGAGGTCGGCCCGGTGTGACCCGCCCGGCCAGCGCCGCGGACGGCGTATCGATCGCCGCCGGCGAGAACGGCGCCCAGTGCGGCGTCCGCGGCCGCGCCGCCTGCATGTGCGTCACGGGCACCACCATGGGCCCGGAGAACACGGCCGCCCACCGGCCGACCTCAGCCGAGCTGCGGCGCACGGCGGAGCTGGCCGACAGGGTCGGCGCCGTCGGCCGGCCGTGTGCGGAGGCCGGTGACGGCGCGAGCCGGGGCGGCGTCGAGCGCGGCCGCGCCGTGGTGCCCGGCCTGACCATCGTCGAGGAGTGGGAGGAGAGACGCACCAGCGCGCAGCGGGCAGCGGACGCCGCCCGACGACGGCGCGGCGCACCTGACAGCGGGCCGGCAGCGGATGCCTCCAGGACAGCGAGCGCGGCGGCGGCGGCGGCGGCGGCGGCGGCGGACCGGACTGGTGCGGGACGGCGGACCGGGGCGGCCCGGACCGAGCGGCCGGACCGCACCGGCAGCGGTCCGGGCCCAGCGGCGGACGCACCGCCGCCAGACCGTGTCGTCGTCGAGGTGAAGGACGTGGTGGAGGTGTTCGAAGACTCGAGGATGGTGGAGAGAACGGAGCGCACACTGACCAACACTGTTGACCTCAGCCCGGTCGTTGGGCCGGCGCTGACACAGAGTGAGTTACGGTCGACTCCTGTGGTGCTAGCGTGACCAGCACGGCCGGCCGTGCCCCAACTCAGAACGCAGTCCCCGCACCCGGAGCCGGCGCGGCCTACCTTACCGTACACTCATTAGGCTTCGTAATGGAATCGATTGTCGGCACTTTTCCGTGAGCTCCGGAACTTTCTCTTCTCCATTAGGTTCGTCGCTGATCCATTACTGCGTGCCTCAGTGTGAGCGGGGACACCAGTGCCGTCTTCTGAGCATGTCCTCTGGCGACCTGGCTCGTGGATCGAACTTCTCAAAGGGTTGCTGAGTTTCATGGTCACTGAGAATTCCGCATGGTGCCCAGAGCCTGTTGCGGGGGAACGGGCTCTGCTCTGCCCGCCGCCGCTGCCTTTAACGTAGCCCATCCCTGGAGAGAGCGTCGTCTGGTGGAACTTCCCGCATCTGCGTCTGCTGACGGTACGGGCTGCGAGAAGATGTGAACACGCACGGAAAATGGAACCCCGTGCTATTGTTAAGACGTCCAGTTTTGCTGTCGGATCGTGCTATCAACTGACGCCTGGTGATCTCTGAGTTCTGCCATCTGCTGTGCCTGGGCCCGTCCCACGGCTGGGGTCGGGCTTTGAGGGACATTGGAGCAGGCGGCTTCAATGTCACGTGGTGCGGCACCGGGCCGATGGAGTTCGGCCTGCCCGCTGCCTGCCGTTTTGCGAACACGACATCTCATTGCAAGTATCATGTCGACTTCATGTGGCATTTCTTGTGCTTTGTGTTAAGGAATTCTTCGGCTCTGACCTTGAAAATGTTGACCTGAGATCTTAAGCATGCGGGGCTCTTAGCCGGCCGGATTGGCTCTGCGAGAGACTGGGTTATATGATCGTCATTTCAACCAACAAGGATGCGTCCAGGATCAGGCTAGGTTGGCGCATCAGTTCACCCAAAAGCCGTGATCAAAGAGGAAGAAACGTCCGTTTATTCTTGGCCCAGGGGCAATGACTTCGGTGATTCTCCCTGAACGAGTCCGTTCTACGGCGCTGTTTTATCCTTGTCATCGTATTCAGTGAACAGCAGTGCGTAGTAGAACTAGTCCACAGGTAGTGAAGAACACCGATGTCCCGGGCTCAGGGCCACAAAGTATTGCTTTATGTTTGTCTAGCACGCCACCGCCAGCCGAGTCCGTCGGGCTGCTGTGTCTCGGGTGCGGCCTGACTGGCGGGGAGTACCGGAGCCGAGTCCGTCGGGTGCGGCGTGGCTCTGACCGGAGCCGAGTCCGTCGGGACGCTGTGTCTCGGGTGCGGCCCCGGTCTGTACCGGCTCGTCGGCATGCTCCGCGACCCGTGCCGCAGATGCTGACAGAGATAGCTCATCTGGGGCAGCGGCCGGCGGGCGCCACCGGGGCCGTGTGGGGCGGCGCGCGACGCGACGCGGCCCGCCTGGGCGTCACGCTCGCGTGCCCGATCGGTCCGGAGGGGAGCTGCGATCGATCGCCGAGCCGCGGCGGCCGACCCGTTGTCTGTTGTTTTGTGTCACCCGTCCCCCTGTTCCCCCTCTCCCCCTCCGTCCCCCCGGCCTGGCGCTTTCGTGTGCGGATGAGCGCGACGATCCTGAGCTCTCAGCCCGGTGGTAGCTTTATATTTTGCTTTAAAAGGCTGCAGTTTCCGCCTCCGGTTTGAGCTGCGGTCTGCGGGCCGGATCTGAGCTAGCGACCGTGGGGCCGCTTTCCACCGTCGCGTTCATCGACCAGTGGTAATCAGAGACACAACAGCAAAAGGCACAACAGCTGGCTGCCATCGTGTCCGCGGAGACCTCGCCCGGTTGGCACAATGCCAGCGCTCGGTGCGGTCCACCGGAGTGCCATTACCGAGACTTGGGCTTATCTGGCACAGGTCACGCCATCCGATCAAGCCGTGGCCGTCGCTGGCCACGAACTGGCGCTCCTGTCGCTCCTCTGCCTGTCAATCAGCCCACCTGTCCGTCCGTGGCCCGCTCCGGTTTGCCCAGCGCCCGGCCGAGATCCGACGCGACACTGACAGCGACGCCCGGTCAGGCCCACCGTCCGCCCCTCGGGCGTGGTCCCAACCCCCGCCGCGCCGGCCGCCGCCAGCTAATTTTGTGCGGGGATGTTTGGTGGCCGAGCGGCGCCGCTCCGTCGGAGGATGTTTAGTCGACGGCTGATGGCGCGGCTGGGACGCCGGCGCACCGTTACCGTCACGCGCTGAGTGCGCCGTCCGTCACGTCGGTGCGGTCCGGTGTGTGGGCCGCCTGGTGGCGCGCGATGGAGCGCCGGCGGTAAAGTGTGTCATCCGTCACTCGGCCGCCATGTAACCCCGCGCGCCGCCAGACGGGGGTCTGGCGGTCTGCCGGCGCTCGCTCGTCCTCGGCGCCGGTCCTGCACGCGACGTGGCCCGCCGATGGTGCCTGCCGTCGCCTGGGAGCGGTCGTTCTCCAGTCGAGTCCGAGCTGTATTTCGCCTGTTTGAGACTCAACTTCATCTTACACTGTGCAGAGGTCGCTGCGCAAGGCCTCCGGCGATTTGCGCGTCTGCAGTTCCATCACTGCACCCAAGCCCTCGTTCCTCGTCTGCGGCTGGGAGACCTCGTCGCTGTTGTTCATGAGCGCCGTGTACCCATATGCTGGCAATTATCGCGCCGTCAGACGGTAACAGCTCGCTCCCGCCGCCGCTGATTTATGCCGGAGTCCGGACATTCCCCACCCGCCTTTGTATCTGGAATGCGCGCCCGCCGGCTGTTTTTCCGGGTCGCCGATGTGCGTGGCAGCTCGGCTGCCAATCAGCATAGGATTTCCATCTGCCGTGGCGGGCCGTGCCGGCGCCGCCCCGGATCTGTCAGCGCCGCCCTCTGTCGCCAGCTGTGATCCAGAGGTGGGAGGCGCTGCGGACGGCCGCCATGGAGCGCCAGCGCAGTGCGGACGCGCTTGGCGGCTTGCGCGAACGCATCCGCACCTTCCGGCTCGCGCTCGCCGACCTGGACGAGCGCACCAATCACGCCATGGCTAAAGTAGCCAGCGACGACGACCTGCAGGCACGCATCAGCGCCATCAAGGTGAGTCGCCCAGAACCGTTAGTTGGTCCCGTCGTCGCTAGGTGGCGCGGCGATGCCGACTGCGCTGCTTGTGGAGGTCTTGGATGGTGGTTGCTGAGTGTGCAAGCGCCAAGGAATATCCGGATCGGCCAGGGGTTGACTGAATGAAAATTTGGTTGATTCCGTGGGCGATTCCGATTCCATCTGGTGTTAGGGACACTTTGGCCTGTCAGGAGGGCTTGAGCGTCATCAAATTACTGGGACAGGAAACCGTTAACAATGCATGGGGTTATTGATTGAAAAGCTTAGGAAGCATGGACACGTCCAGCACGTTTGGGTGCGCCTGAAGTGTAACACTGGCGTCGGAGGTGTATCCAGACCTTAAGCTACACACGGCTTTGCTCCTTAAACATTAATAGTCTACGTTCACGTCAGGTTGCTGACGTCTTCCGTGACGACCTTTCACAGCAGTAGTTGTGTCGATGGGGTCAGTAAAATGTTGCGGTCTGTGCGGGTCTTGAAAAGTCTCTTTTCATAGCACTCGTGTAGTGCCTGCTGCACGCTTAGAGGCACCACTTTGGTACTACAGGTGTCATTGGTCTGGAGAAGTGGAAGGAATCGGACCGGGGTGCCCCGTTATCGTTCAAGACGATCGTTAGAATATAACAGGAGGCATTTCAAGCCTTCCCGTGTATTTCGCCATGTCCTTGAACTGTGGGGGTTGACTTGAAAGTCCCTGTCCGTCAAGAAGTGTTTTTCTCCGTCTTGTTTACTTCTGGCATCTATATTACATACCCTACTTCTGTTTTATATAGATGGCGAAAGGCCTCCCAAATATGCATACACAGTGGGGCATCTCCATGTATTTTATTTCATTTGACGTTTGACATTTTACATTTTACATTTTATATTTGACCAAATCATTTAGTCAAAAAATATGCAGTGGGGCATCCCGATGTATTTGATTCTAATGCGGTTGTTAAGCTCGATGTGGGGGCGATGCATGACTGACCTGGGTGTAAAGAGGATGATGTGGCGGCGACGAAAGCAGGTGGCCAGCTGTCAACCACACCGGTGGACATGTGCGTGTCTCTGTGCTCCTCTCAGCGTGGCTTTGGTCATCGTTTCTTCGTCTTCTCCACGCCCAGCGCAGCCATTCATAAGGCTTAACACGCGCCCGGGTGGCCGGCTAGACACCCTTCGCTCGGGTGGGGGGGGGGGGGGGGGGGGGGGGGGGAGGGTGAACCCCCTCCCTGAGATCTCGGGAACTAAGAAAGCTAGCGACACAAAATTTACAGGGTGTGTCGACCTGTACGTGAACCCACTTAGGCCAAAGTTTGAGCTTCCTAGGATGACCTTCAGGTCAAATAAAGTCAAACAAGGTTAAATTCCAGGTTGGCCTCCAAAGTGCTCCCATAACCTAGATAACTGTTTCTAAGTAAAAGGTCATAACCTCATTTAAGGTCAGTGACCTTGTCTGACCTTTTAAAAGTCATGGCGACCAACATCATGCAAGACTGCTATGAGTGTTGCATTTGATTAAGCGACAAAGATTACGCTAGGCAGTACGTTCCTAAAAACAAAATATCGCCCTGGGTCATCTTAGGTCAAAGGCCTATTCTGACCTCTAAGAAGTCAATGGAAGATGTATAATACGATTTTTGTTGTCTATAAATTCGAAATGAGCACCAGAAACTCCCACACAGCAAGCCCTCGAATAATAATAAATGTCGTTTTAATATTGGTCTGACATTTGTATCTGACCTTAGGTCGACGTAATTTGCTCATTCAATATTTTATGTTGCCTAAGAAAGAATTTGTGAGATGTATGGCTTCGTCAAATGCTCCGATGTTTCGTCAGATTGAACGATTCCCTAGAAATTGCCTCCGCTGAAACCATGGCCTGACTGACCTGCCATAGGTTAGCGACCTTACAAGTTACATCTAAATTTTTGATGTCAAATGATCAGCTATTCAATTGTCTACAGCTACGCAAAATTTGGCGCGGTTACGCCGCACCGTTCCGGAACCATTCCGGAAAAACCTTCGGGGGGGTCAATTTGACCCCCTACCCGGGCGCATGTTAACAGCCACGCTAACTCAGATGGGTTCTTTGTACATGCGTCTGAGGTTGTCTGCTAGGGGACATTAGGTGCACATATGTGGCAGGCGTATGGGTAATAATGTGCGTGAGATGGTTTAGTATTGCACAGCGCTCATCTGCACTGAGCTGCTGAGTTGGATGTAGATGTGAGATGATGGATGTGAGACTGCGTACCGACTCCCCTGCTGGCCCTAGTCAGCCGTCGCTACCGTCCTGGGCAATAGACCCCGTCCGTCGGCGGATGCTGGCGGCCGTGTAAAGCGCTTACTATGCCTCCGCTCCACTCGGAGCTCTGTGGCTTCAGCGGGTTCGTGCTCCTCAAGCCCAGCGGGGTCAGTACCTACGGGGACTGCCGGGTCGGGTGCCGTCCGAGGCTGGAGCACGTCTTCTTAGTCTGGTCGTTGCACGGCCTGGAGTGTGGACACGTGCCCTGGACGTTGCGGTTGGCTGGGTCGAGCGGCAGGTCGTGCACGTCCTCGTGACGTCACCGTGTGGCTGTCGGGCCTGGAGTCCCGGCACCTTCCTGTGACGTCACCGGATGGTAGTGGCGCTGCCGGAGTTTGGCTACCTCGTGCTGACGGCGCGGCGGGGTCGTGCAGCGGGCCAGCCAGAGTAACGCCGCACGTGGGCGGCCGCGTGACTGGCTTCTGTGGCCGTTACTGCCGCCACGGGGCATGTCAATGAGCTGAGCCACGGTCGGCGCGGCGTTCTGCACGCAAACGGCTCCGTTGGCAAGCGAACTCCCGGCTAGCGGCTCATTTAAACCCACGCTGGGCGCAGGGTAGACGTGACGGCATCCTCCGGTGGGGCCGTGACGTCACACCGCGTCGCTAGCTCCCGCTGTTCACGCTACGGGACGCGCCAGACGTGAGACGCATCTGGGGGCCGGGACGCGACACGTGCTGCCTCTCGCGGCGGTGCTGGTATGAAAGGTAGCCTGTTTGACCGCCAGATGTCCGTAGACGCGGCAGTGATCGTTCATCGCTATGCGAATTGGGTATTCAGGAGATCAAAGGGTCGCGCTGCCTTTCTCTCTGCTCTCAAGAATAAAAATGGCATTATTTAGCAGTTTATTCATATGCAAAGTGAGCTCGGTGTATGATGTAATTTACTGGTGCCTGGAGGATTGACGAGAGGGGCTCGGCAGACAGGTGGAATGGGGCGATTTTTACGCATTTCCCAGTTTTTGCGCAATCAGAACCCTCGCAGTGTGGAAGTGTTTGTTCGTATATTTTTGGAATATCAGGAGGGATTAGTGGGCATTGTGTGCGCCGGGGTTCTCAGGCGTCAAGAGCGGCCACCAGCTGCCCGGACCTGTTTACCAACAAAAATCGCTGCCTTTTTCGAGGACGGGGCGGGCGCGGCCGTTTGTGTTTGGCACCGATCCACCGATAGGAATGGCGCCTGGAGGCCGGGATAATGCGAAATCTGATCACGCTAATTAATTTTGTCCCGGAGTGGGGCGGTCGGGCCGTTTTTCGTGGCCGACGCACCTGTGCTCGGACGCTGGCATCCGTAGCGGCGCTTTTTCTGGCCACCACATGGCGTTGTGGAATTTCGGTCCGTGTGCTGTGCATTAGCGCTGGGTGCCGAGGCCTGGTGGGCCGCACCTTCGGCGCGCGCGCTGCAGCCGGCAGTGGAGGCTAGCCGTCCGGCCAGACTGTGCGGCGCCGACCTGCGATGCCATGCAGCCCCCCCCCCCCTCGTCACGAAATCGGGTACACACTGACAGCTGTTAAGTGTGAGCCTCTTCCGTGTTCACATGACGCACCGCAGTCGCTCGGACAAAAGTCCATCAATCACTGCGTTGGGGACGGAAAGAGTCGGCAAGCCGTTGTTCATATCAGCGGAAGGATGCGATGGTCATGCTATTATACGTGGACATGTTGGTCCGTTCTTTTTTTTTATAGAACTACGGCTGTCGCTCCGGAAACACTCGCTTCAGGAACGTAATATTACATGAGAAAATAGTTACTTAACAAAAAATGTTCCAAGTATTTGGACCCATGAAAACATCGTTTATTGACAATCGCGGTAACGCATATTGGTCGGTTTCGTCGAAATTCGGATGCTGTTGCCAGGTTTCCTGTGACCGCATTCCTAAGTCCACGGGCCTCTCGTGTGACTAATGCTTGAAAAGTCGGGGCATGCAATAGGTGAGCCTGGCGCAAGAAGGATCGATTTAAAGCTGCTGATGAATGATAATATGATGCGTAGACCTTTGTCTCTTGCTGGGGCGTTGTCGCCTCTCTACACTGCCCCGCTTTTGGGATCATCACACCGCGATTGGCTGCCGTATCTTGTCACCCTGCCTGGCTGCTGTCCCACCTCTGATCTGTCCGCCGCTGCTCCGCCTCTCCGACCTGCCCGGCTGCCGCACGCCGCCTCCGGGTCGTATTTTTCGCCAGGACGCCGGCCGAGCGCCTGGCTGTTTTTCGGCCGGCATTGTGCGAAATTAGGATTCGGCGCGGGCGTGGCGGGCGGCGGCGGAGTTCGTAGACGTGCGTGGCGGCCGGCATACTGATGGCCGCCTCCCTTATCCGCGCATTACCCGAGGCGAAAACAGCGGCCCGCGGAGGGAGAAAGACGGTGGGGTAGGCCAGTCGGCCGGCGGTCCAAACGGCGACAACTGGCCGCCGGCTAGGTCATGCAGACCCCGCGGGACGGGAGGGTCTGGGTCAGGTCACGTCAGGTCAGCCAGACCCGCGGGGACGGGAGGGTCTGGGTCAGGTCATGTCATGTCAGCCAGACCCGCGGGGACGGAAGGGTCTGAGTCAGGTCAGTCAGACCCCGCAGAGATGGAGGAGGGGGGGGGGGGGGGTTGAGTCAAGTTGGTCAAATGCCCAGCCGGTTTTCTTGTAGCCTGCCGTGTTAGTCCTGTTTGTAATTTGGCTTTGCCTGCATATTTTTGCTGCTTTTTCAATAAGCCCTGTAATTTTTGCATCAACAATTAAGAGCGAATGTACAACATTTGAATCAATTGTTGTGGTAGGCCTGAAGCATGCCATTGCATTTAATGGTGTTTTTGACATTGTGTTACTGGTTATTGTCAATTCTTTCTTTTTTACTGGCATAGACCTTAGCTGGAGAAGATGTGGGGTCATGGATATAGCATTTGATGTTAATTTAGATCTGTTTGGTATACTCCTTTTTGCAAAAATATTTGGTCTGGAACGGACCGAAATCATGTGGGCCTGGTGAGGAAACCCCGCGGCAGGCTCGTCAGATCAGATGGGACCTGGTGGAGGGGGGGGGGGGGGGGGGGCGCGGCAGACTGGTCAGGTCAGGCGGAACCTGGCGAGGAGTCCCCGCGGCAAGCTCGTTAGATCAGGTGGGGCCTGGAGGGAGCCCCGCGGCAGGCTCGTCAGGTCAGGTGGGCCTGGTGGGGAGCCCCTGCGGCAGACTAGTCAGATCAGGTGGCCTGGTGGGGAGCCCCCGCGGCAGGCTCGTCAGATCAGGTGGGGCCTGATGGGGCCCCCGCGGCAGACTGGTCAGGTCAGGCGGAGCCTGGTGGGGAGCCCCCGCGGCAGACTGGTCAGGTCAGGCGGAGCCTGGCGAGGAGCCCTCGCGGCAGGCTCGTCGGCCGGCCGCCGGGCCGCCGCTGGCTGTCCGCCTGGCCGGCTGGGGCCGTCCGTCACCTTGCGGGCCGCCCCGGCCGTCCCGTAACGTATCGGGAGTGGCCGTCACGTCTCTGTAATTAGATTGTGGTCGGCGGCGGCGGCGATGGACGAGCGTGCGGCGGCCTCCTCCGCGCGCCACCACCCAATTGACAATATCGGCGCGGCAGGAAGATAAATGCCGCGCTCGATTACCGTTTAATCGGTATCATGCGGCGGCCGGCTGCCGCCCCGGGGTGTCTCTTGGCCGGCCGCGACGGCGGCCCGACCCCGCGGCATCAGCAAAAAACCGGCGCCGCCGACAAAGGGGTGGCGCGGCGCGTGTGTGCCCACTCCGAACAAAAACGCCGCCGCACGCCCGAACGGGGTGGGGACGGCCGCCCGGGAGGGGCTGGCAGCAGGACCAATGGAGCCGGGGCCATTAGCGGCCAGATACCGGGTCAATTTGTCGGCTACCGGACAGGTGGACTGCGGAGCGGGCCGCGGCTGCCGGCCGGCGAGATCTGGACACAGCCGGAATCATATCAGACGGGCGATAGCGAAACCAGTCGAACTGAGACGTGCCGCCGGCGGGCGGGCCAGCGACGGACTGTCGGTGGCTGGCACGTGTCGGGATGTGGACCCCGCTCGTGTCTGAGACGCGTGAGCGCCCTCTTCCTCTTCACTGTGTCTGTCCGTCGGGGGTCAGCTCCCAGTGTCCTCTGGTGCAGTCTGTGACCCCTCCTCCTCCATCTTCTCTGTCCGCCGGCGGCGCAAGACCCGGGCGGCTGTTGCCCCCCCCCCCTCCCCCTCTCTCTCTATCGTCTCGCCGTCGGCGGGTCAGCACCGTCGGCCGTTGGCGCGGTTTTTGCCGCGCGCCGCGCGCTATGAATTTATGACGGTGGGTCGGATCGGGCTTTTGTGCGCGGATTACGGGAGCGAGCGCGGCGACAGTGTGACACCTCGCCGTGTGTGAAAATCAGCCGGCCATCGATCGGACGGCGGCGCGCCGTATTTTACGGATTAGCCGGTGCGGCGGGGCGCGCGGTGAACAAGCCCGTCTAATGGGCCGGCGCGCCAGATTGGGTATTAGCGGGGCCGGGGCGCGGCGGGCGCGCGCCGCTCCCGCGGGAGGCGCGCGCCCTCGACAGACGCGCCGGCCCGCTGACCGATGATTTACGTCCGGCGCGCAGACGACGCGTAAGAAATTATTACGGCCGCCGGCAAAAAGGTCGGCGCGCCGCCTGTGAGCCGACCGACCGGCCGCCGACAGGTGAAATACCGGGCCGACGAAGCGGGCTGAGCGGCCGGAGCGGGCACGGCATGGCCGCCGCGCCGGCCGCCGCCCGCTTTTTCGCCGCCCTATCGGTCGATATCGACGGACACCGGGCGACTTTTTCCCGGTCGTGATTGATCCCGATTGGCTTTCTGTGTTTTTGCCCGGGTAAGCGGGCCGAGATATGCCGGGTACGCCGGTGGCTTATGTCCACTGGCTGACTTTGATGGCCAGCCCTGATGGATGACTGACCGCTGCCGCCCGGTTTATGACATAAAAGGTTTTTGGTGGTGCCGTGAGGCCGTATCGCCACACCAAGCCCTACGGGCAGGCCGGTGGGAAGGGCGGCGGTGCCGTGCCCCCCCCCCGTGCCCCCCCCCGTGCCCCCCCCCCCCGTGCCCCCCCCGTGCCCCCCCCCCCCCCCACCTCTCCCCGAAGCATCTTCCCCCCCCCCCCTGCTGGCGCCGTGTGATCGGGCTCGCTCTCGACCCGTTTCCACTGTACCATTACCATATGCAAATGGCTGTTCTCCGTTTACAAACTGGCCTCCCCGGGGCTGTCTTGTTCCATCTGTAAAAATACGGCGCGCAGCGCGGAGGTGCCGCGCCATCGGCCGGCCGCGCCGATAAATCGCGCGCCGGCCGGCGTCGCGTATTGGCGGATTAGCGCGCCACCTTTGTCTCAGGTGGGCGCAGCCCGGTGTCTGGCGCGCCGGCCAGCGCCGGTGCACGGACGCGCTCAATGCGCCGCTCCCACCGATTATGATATCGAGTGGGGCCGGATTTCCATACGCGGTGCCGGGCGGTCCGGCTCGGCTCGGCCGGGCCCCCGGCGCGTGGCGGCGCGTCCGGCGGCACCGGAGCCGACCGGACCGGGCCGGGCCCGCCGTCAGCGACCTCCCTCTCTCTCGACGGCCGGACCGTGACCCCTCAGCGGCGCCGCCGATCCCGCCCGCCGACCCGCCGACTCCAAAAAGGAAAGCCTAATGTCCCCGCCGTGCCGCTCAGATGGAGCTGGCTGACAACGGAAGGCCGCACGTGATCTGAAATTAGTCATTAGCGTTTTACGAAATGTCGGACGGTTTTTGCCTCTGATTCCTCCGTCGGCGATAAGGAGTAAATCCTCGCGGCTTTAATGTTGTGTAGTTTGGAGACGTCTACCTATTGCAGAATGTGCTGTAGATGCCACTCCCCAGCCGTGCCGGTGTCCCGAGTGGGACACCTGGCCTGCATGATCTGAGACGCATCCCTGTTGTTCGCTTCCTCCGCGCCACGCGGCTATTTGTGTCCCCATCATGTTCTCGAGACACCAGCAAAGTACGCTCCTCTTGACCCCAGCAAGAGGTGACATGACTCTGCCGGTCGTTGGCGGTGTGCTGGCCGTGACCTGACCGCCGACCCCTGGCCTGGGACGTGACCCGACCCGTGTCGCCAGGCGCTGCAGGAAGAGCTGGCCGACCGGCGCCGGGAGCTGGTCACCATCAACACGGACGTGCACGGGCACGTGACCGGCGGCGGCGGCGACCCCTCGCTGAAGGACGACATTGCCACCCTGTACAGGATCTGGGACGAGGTCAACCACCGGTGAGTGAGCCGGGCCGGCCTGGTGGGCCGCCGTCGGCACAGCGCGCACGTGCTGCAGGGTGTTTGGGCGCCGTCACCGCCGTGGGCTGAGGGCGGCGGTGATCTGAACACGACGGCTGGCCGCCGTTCCAACGGTACTCCCCGCACCCCCCGCGGCGTCGCCCGCAGCCTGCCCTCGGGCGGCTCCGGCGACGGTGACGCTGACTCAACCCTCTCGGCAGGACCCGACGGGGGGGGGGGGGGGTGGGCGTGCGGCGTCAATCGGGGCGGCGCCGCCCCTCACTTCTCATCGGTTCCGTGTCGATTAATATGACAAAGTGCCGGCGCTTAGAGTCGGCCGGCGGCGGCGGCGCGGTTTCGATTTGGTGCGACCCTAATGCCGTGGTGGGGAGTTGTCGCCGTTAAATCCAATATCGCCTCTGACTAATGTTTGTTTTCTGGTCGTCTGATCCGTTTGCTTCTCGACTCCCGGCCGCCGATTGGTGAAATATGGCGCGAAATCTCATATTTTGGCGCGCCAGGCGACTTATTTGCTCGCGAGCGGTGGCGCGTGCTGAGGGTCCTTATGAGAGTGTCGGAAGTATTAATGCCGTGAAATGATTGGCACTTGAATTTATCTCGCCTGAGGGACGCTGGCTCAGACGCGCCGGCCAAAAATTGGATTTATTCAAAAGATTGCGCGCGCTGGCGGCGGGCCGGCGGCTATGTGGCGCAGCTGGCCATCTGGCGGCGCTCGTGGCGCGCCGAGCCGCCTATATCAGACATCGATTGCCGGGCCGGGCCGTGGCCGGCGTAATTGGCCGTTGCTGCTGACAAAGCGCCCCCGCCGCCGCCGCTCGACAGGAGCCTTCATTTGTTTATTTAGTTTGACCGCTTGCACAAGTGGTTAATTTTTTCGCCGCCAGGGGATGATTGCGTCGCAGTGACGCGGCACATAGGCGGCGGCCGGCCATCACAGCAAAAATGTGCAATGTAACTTTTCGGAAAACGATCTCGGCGCGGCGGTGCGAGGACGGCTGCCGGGTGTGATCTGCGCCGGTCCGACCCGCCATCTGGGGCGGGGTCGGCGCCCCAGCCTCGGCCGGCCGACCGGCTAACAGGCCCTATCCCCACGCACCGCCTATCAATTTGTCGGGCCGTATCATCGGCCGGCGTGACTCGGGATTCGCGAAACAATGTGCCGAGTTAATTGCGGCCGGTAATGAGTGGCCGGGCGCCGGGCCGGCTGCTGCGCCGCCGCTCGCCGCGCTACCGTGCGCGCTCGCCGCGCCGCTCGCCGCAGCGATCCGACACCTTTTTGCGCGCGCGCGCGCGCGTCCGCCGGAGAGACGCGAGCGGTTTTTACCGCGCGATCGTCGCGCTCGGCAGCGGCGGCCGTGTCCGGCGCCTTATTTACGACGCGGCGCCACAGAGGCGGCGTTTTGCCCGGGGACGCTGCGCACAACTAACCTATATAGCGTCGCGACCCCAGCCGCCGCCCGACTGATTTAGCGCCTTTGTGGGGAGGGGCCGGCGCTGTGAGGGGCCTTGTTTAGATACCTGCGCGACGCCGGCCATCGACAACAGACCCCTCCGCGTCGTCCTTCGGCCGCCGCCCGCCGTCCATTTCGTCGAAAGGCGACCCAGTGGTCGGGCCATTGGGGCCGGAGTCGGTGTCTCCTTCTCCCGGGACCCAGCCGGCCTTCTCCAAACCGAAATAAAAACGACACGACTGAATGCATCCGGATAATTAATGTAAAAGCCCCGGCTGGTACCCTGATGTGCCTCCGCCAAAGGGCTAATGGTGTATAACTGTTATTACGCTCTCGTTGTCATTAGCTGTTATCAGCGTTAAGTGCCGCTCGGGTGTGGGCCGGCCGCCGGGCAGGACCGGGCTGGCGCTCCTCCACCGCCGCTCGTAAATCGGGCCCGGCGCCCCATAGCCTCCTGTCATTCCCGTCGGCGACACGTTTACGGCGTCTTTTTCCGGCCAGGATCGGCGACAAAAAGGCGCCGATGTATCGCGTGTGCATGCGCACGGCCGGCGCGCGCTTCTTATCCTGCCGGCAGCCTCGAGCGGCGTCCCTCGTCCTGTCCGCTCATGGTTAATGCAGCGGGCGCGGTCAGCGGCGACAGATGAGCGAGCGCCCGATGCGCGGATCGACAGCGTCGGCGCTGCCCGTCACCGCGCTGGCCGGGCTGCTGGCTTCGTCACCGCCGCCGCTGGCCGACCCATCCTCATCCGCACCTCGTGACCACGCCCGGTGGCGGCCTGGCCGTACTGACCGGCGTCGTGATCACAATGGATTGCCTCCCGCTGTGGTCCTTCTATTGGCGTCCCGCCTGAGACCGGGCTGCCTTCTGTGTGGCCCGCTGCCTGACCGCCGTCTGACCCGCTGTCTGACCCGCTGTCTGACTGGCCATCTGACTCGCTGTCTGACTCGCTGTCTGATCCTCTATGCGAACCGCCGTCTGATCCACCCTCTGACCCGCTGCATGAATCGTTGTCTGACTCGCTGTCTGACCCGCCGTCTGACCCGCTGTCCAACCGCTACTGCCGCAGGAGCCGCGCCCAGTTGGAGCAGTTGACGGCGCTGGAGGCCACGTGGCACGCCTTCCGGGCGGCGCGTGCCGAGCTGGCCGCCGTGCTGCAGGCCGACAAACAGAAGCTGGGCCTGCTGCGGGAGGCGCTGCTGACCGGCGGTGACGTCGGCAGCCGGGTGCAAGACGTGGCTCGCGTGCTGACCGACCGCTGCCGACAGCGGGACACGGCCGCCGGCGCCGGCGCCCAGGTCAGTCTCAGTCGGCAGGCGCAGCGGAGCAGGCCCCAGCGTCACGACTGTGGACGCCGCGTTTGCACACCAGAGCGGCACAGAATGACTGGATGGGATCAGAGCGGCACGGAATGACTGGATGAGATCAGAGCGGTCCGAGAGATGCGTCTCATGGTCGTTGTACGCGGCCAGGCGGCGGGCAGTGCCACTGCGCTGGGCGGCCGGGCAGCACCACTCCTGTCCCCCGACACTGCCCGGCCGCGGCCGCCGGTCGTGCCCTTCCTGCACGGCTGGGTAAGGCGGAGCCGTTCTCCGCCGGGCCCGGCGCCGGCGCCGCCGGCACGCGCGCCGGCTATAACTCAGCGGCGGCCGTCGCGCGGTGACGCGACGGCGGCGGCTGGCCTGCCTCCTGTCGACCATAAACAGCGGCCCACCCGGGCTCGGCCGCGCCGCCCGGCCACACTGTCGCCGCCGACCGATTTGCGAGACAGTGTTTCGCGTGCGCCGTGCCCCCGCCGTCGGCCGCGCGCCGTAAGTAACCGTTTTGAATGGTGAGACCACCGCCGCGCGGCCGACGCCGCGGACACCGCGGCCGCCCGTCGTATTTGTTTGCCGCCCGGAACCCCCGCGCCGAGCGTGAGTAACGCCCGAAGCCCGAGCCGACCGGCCGCCGGCGAGACGACGCGCCGTGATTTAGCGCGCCGCCGCGGCGGTTCATTAGCAAGCCATGGATCCCGACGGCGGCGGCGCGCGAGCCGGGCTGGCCCGGCGGCGGCGGCCCTAAATCACGCGGTCCGTAAATCGTGCGCGGTCGAGCGGCGCCGACGGCCGGCCGGTCCAGTTGTTGGCACTCGGCGCATTCGCCGCTGTCCGCTGGTGATCTATGGCCGACGGTCGGCCGTTTTTACGCCGTCGGTTCGCATTCACAGCCGGATGACCAAGCTCAGGGTTAATGAATTTATAGATTGGTTATTTATGGCGCGATCAGAGGAGGCCTAGCGCAAGAATGCCGGTAAGAAATTGTTTGGTGTCGCGCACACGGGCCGGTGCAGCGTGTGATGTACGCTCTGGCGTCACCAGCGTCGCCTCCGCGCGGCCGACTCCTTTTTAGCCCGCAAAAATTATGGTAATCCGTCTTTGCAAACAAGTTCGAGTTGGACATACGTCAAAATAGGCGCATTGTTTGGTATTGCGGATCCCGAGGTTATTGATTGCCGATCCGACAAGAAGTCTCGGCTGTCGCGCGACGGCGGGGGGCGCGCGTGGCGGCGGTGGCGGCGGCGCGGCCGGTGCTAAATGCTGCCCGTTGGCCTGTCGGGCCCGCTTAGCACGGCGACTGCAGCCGGCGGTAGCGCCGGGATTTATCGCCGGAATTATCCCGGCTGGGAGCGGGTATTTGTTTTGATGGGGCTGACGGGCGGCCCGAGTGTAACCGTGGGACAGCGTCTGCAGGCACCCGTGCGCCGGCCCGCGGGACGGACAGCACCCCTGCCGGCCGCCGCCGCCGCCGCCGCCGCTACCTCCTCCGGTCACCGTAAAACCAGACGCACTCACCCCATTTGAATTGGTAATTGAAAAGCGCGCGCCGTAAAAAGGTGGCGTGCGGTGGCGCGCCGAGCGCTGGGGGGCGGTGCGACCAGCGGCTACTGGTGAGGCCGCGATGGAATCGCACCCGTCGTCGATCGTTACAGGCCGCTGCGGTCCCGGATATTCATTGGAAAAGCGCACACAATGCGCCCGGGCCGTGGCTGTAAATTCTTCGGCAACACCCTGCTGGCGTCGTCCCAATGAGCCAATAAAATCAGCGGCGGAGTGGGCTATTAACCTGGGGCCACACGCACCAGCGAGAGCGGTAGCACTGCCACGCAGCGCACACAGGGGACGGCAAAGCACGGAAGCCAGCCCACTAGGCGCCAGCAGAGACGGCGGCCTTTTCGACAGGGTGTAGAGTGTAGTGTGCGGCTCCAGTGCAATGTACAGCGTAGTGACAGTGTAGTGTGCGGCTCCAGTTCCGGTCTTGTTTAGCGGGCTGCAGCGGGTGTGTGCCGGTGGTCCCACGGACCGGGTGGTGGCCGGGGCGCGTCGGCCGGCGCACGGGCCGCGTCTGGGCCCGGGGGTCGAGGTCGTGACATCGCCGGCTCGTCCATACACGTCCGGCTGACGTCAGCTGCATTAGCCGCCTCCAATCGGCACTGACCGCCGCCGTAAACAAGTTAACCCCGCCGCCGACCCCTGGCCAGCTCGCCGTGTCAGAGCCGTCCGTACAGCCGGCTGTGGCTGCATGAACAGACGGATGTTTGCGCGCTGCCCCGTCCGCCGCCCGCTCTGTCCGCCCTACCGCTGACCCAGCGGAGCGCCGCCCCGTTCGCCCAACCACTGACAGACTCCTCTGACCCGGCAGAGCGCTGAGCAGCTGGCCGAGCAGCTGGCGGCGGCCGCCGACGACCTCTCGGAGGGCACCTCGGGCTACGACAGCGCCTGCTCGGATGACCTGAGTGAGCGCGAGCGGCGGCTAGGCCGCCTGCGACGCATGGCGCGCGACCTGGAGGCCGTCGTCAGCCCGGCTAGTCCGGCCTGGGACGACATCGAGCATGTGAGTCGGCACGGGGCCCGCCGACGGCGGCTGGCGGAGCCCCGACCCCGCGCCGGGACCGCGGGTGGCCGTCTGCCCGCCGCTTCCTGGCACGCGCTCGTGGCGTGTGTGGTGGTTAGCGTCAGACGCGCAGCTGCCTCGGAAGCTCACCGTGGCGCGATCTCGTCTGGTTGGGATGTGCAGCGCGGCTCCGCCTGTCTCGCTCCCCTCAGATCTGCCTGGCCATCCAGCGGTGGTCTCCGGGGAGGGCGCTCGGTCCAGCTTTCATCTGTGCCCGGACGTGTCTGACATTGGGACAGTCGCCCTTTCATCTGGCGCCGCACCGCCCAGCCGACCCCGCCATTAGCGCCTCCCCGGCAGCGGCCGGCCGACTCTTGGGCGTGTCCGCGGCTCCGGTGTCCTGTATGTGACTGTTGTGTGTGTGGCTCCTGTGTCTGTGGCTCCTGTATGTGACTGTCGTGTGTGTGGCTCCTGTGTTTGTGGCTCCTGTGTGTCGCTGACGTGCGTGTAGCTCCGGTCTGTGACTGTCGTGTGTTTGGCTTCTGCGTGTGACTGCCGTGTGTGTGGCTCCTGTGTCTGTGGCTCGTGTATGTATGACTGTCGTGTCTGTGGCTCCTGTGTGTGACTGCGTTGCCTGGTCGCTCTGTCGTCTGCTGTAGACGCGCGTCCGTGATCATTGACACTTGACACAGATTGCGCGTCTGGCAGCCGCCCGTAATGGATGGCGCTCCCATTGGCTGACAAACGCTGTTCATCTGGAATTAGGGGTGACAGGCCATTGTCGCCCGGCTGAGTCATGCGTTGAGAGTCATCGCTCGACTCCACCGCACCACTTCTTTAGCTGTGGACGCCGCCCGTCAGCGGCGCCCCTTGAACGGCCGGGGCTCCGGTGTTGTGGACTTTGGTCGCTGAACGACCGGTGCGGCAGGGCAGACTTGCGGAAGGCGTGACCCCAGGTGGTCTCGATCATTGTCTGGTGCATTGTGTTGTGATGTGCCTATGGTTTACCATCCTGTGTCCCATCCCTGTCTGTCAGCGCCTGCCGTTACCGCCACGTTCCCAGCCCATCGTAAGAGGCAAGTGCGTGTTGTGTGTGTGTGTGTGTGTGTGTGTGTGTGTGTGTGTGTGTGTGTGGTGTGTGTGTGTGTGTGTGTGTGTGTGTGTGTGTGTGTGTGTGTGTGTGTGTGTCGTGCAGATATGTTGTGTGTTGTGAAGGTGTGCGTGTTGTGTATGTTGTGTGCAGGTGTGTGTGTGTGTGTGTGTGTGTGTGTGTGTGTGTGTGTGTGTGTGGTGTGTGTGTGTGTGTGTGTGTGTGTGTGTGTGTGTGTGTGTGTCGTGCAGATATGTTGTGTGTTGTGTAGGTGTGCGTGTTGTGTATGTTGTGTGCAGGTGTGTGTGTATGTGTATGTCTGTGTGTGCCAGGCTGACTGTCGGCCGTGCCCCGTCCTCAGACGCTGACGTCAGCCGCCTCGGAGCTGCGCGAGCTGCAGCAGTCGTGTCGCGAGCTGGTCATCAAGACGACGGCCCAGTTCCAGGCCGACACCGGCCCCTCCGGCGGCAGCCCCCTGCTCAGGTAACGCCGACTGCACGCCACGACTGCGCCGCTCGCCGCCGGCTGCAGCGCAGATGACACGCGAGGCATTGTCACCATGCTGCGCGACTAGCACCGTATGGTCATTAAACGTGATCAGCGCGGGATGAGACGATTGCGGAATCGCGGCGCTGTCGACCCGTCGTCCGACTCGTGCGGTGGCCCAGTGCGGAGCTCCCGGCTCGTCGGACGGGGGCGCGCACCTCGCCAGGTACCTCGGCCGAGAGCGGCCCTCGCCGCCGGGGCAGCGGCATCATGGGCCCGCAGTCTGACCGGCTCCGCAGGTGGCCGAGGTGTCGGCGCCACTGGTCGCCAGAGGTGTCGGCGCTACTGGTTACCAGGGCCGTCGGCGGCACCAGTTACCAGAGGTGTCGGGACCACTGGCCACCAGCTTCGCCGGCGGATCTGGTCACGAGGGCCGGGCCGGATCTGGGCCGGGCCGCCGCGCCGCCGCCGTACCCGAAGATCCGTTCTCCGGCGGCACGTATCCGGCCGCTGTTGTGGCCCGCCGTGCCGGCCTGCGGTAGCCCAGCCGCCGGTCAGCCTGCGCCCGACCCCTGGAGGCTCTGTCGCGGCCTGGCTCTGTCCGCACCCGCTTCATTAGTATGCGGCCGTCGGCGGCGGCGGCGGCGGTGGACGCGTGTCGGCTGCCGCCGCGGCCTGGCCCGCTCCGACGCTCGCCTGTTTTACGGCGGCCCGGCCGGCCGGCCGCCGCGCACACACGCGCGCCATTAGGGTGGGGCCGCCGTCGTGCGCCGGTCCGACTGAAGCGTGTTTGGTCGCCGACCGGCCCCTCTCAGTGGCTTGTTTGGAGGCCGCCGGACGGTCAAGATGGGACGAGCCTGCGGCCTCGCGCCGGCCCGGGTAGTACAAACAGCGCCGCCGCCGCCGCCGCCGCCGCCGGGCCCGCTCTCACGTGGGCCGAGGCAGCTTCCATTTCCGGCACGCCGCAATGAACTTTTTGCTAGGCAATTGTTAATGCCGTGGTAGTCCAAGAAACAGGATCAAACACCACAGACTCATAGAGCAAACTGGTCTCTGAGAGGAGCTCAAACACGACGTCTGGTACACTGTTACACTGCTACGTCACGACGGCGTTACGCTGTCTCCCGTCCGAGACATTAAAGTTGTCATGCTCCACTCGTTTTGGTATCGGAGAAAGGTGAAACGCATCACCTCTAACTCGGCTCACCATCGGACGGACGCGAGCCCGCCAACGTGGGCTGCTCCGCTGTAGAGCCTCTCGACTGATGCGGCACTGCGACAGTTGAACTTCGACTGATGCGCCCCTGCCGCCGGCGACAGTGCGGTGCGTCGTCGCGTACTCCCGTGGCGCTTGCGTTAGTGTCGGCCGTTTGCACCGCCGCTTGTTTGGCCGCGTCCGAGCGGGGCGCGACGCTGCTGTCGACGTGTCTAGAATGCCGCGCGGCCGGCGGCAGCGGCGCGCGCCACGAATGCCGCCGGTCCCGATACGGCCTGACCGGCTGGCATGGCGCTATCAGACCCAACATCAGACCGGGCATTCATGGCGCATGTGCCGGCGGTGTGCCGCCACTGGACGCCGCGGGCTGAGTGTTTGTTTGGGGATGGCCGGCGACTGAGCCGACCTGACCGGCCAGGGGGCCCACCGTCAGCCCGCATCCCCCGCCTCCCGTCCAGGACATGCTCGGTCTACACACACAGCGTGCGGAGGCTCTCGGCGTCTGGGGCAGCAGCTGGCTGGGGCTGATGTTCGGCCGTGTGAGTCGCGACTGTCCCAGTGTCTTCCGGTCCCGCCGGTGGGTTGAGGCGCCGCCAGTACGGCTGGCTGTGTCGGCGCGCCGGCGGGCCGCACGGCAGAGGAAGAGGGGGGGGGGGGGGGGGGGGGGGGGCGGGTCGACGGGAATCGGGCCGTGTGCGCCACCGCCCGCCGAATAGAGATGGCCCCATTAGCGCCGGGTCGATGTCGGCAGTCACTGAGAGGCCGCGGCCCGGGCGGCGCCCGGTATGAATTGTTAAATGCCGCGCCGCGGGCGGCGGCCGCGACGGCTACCGGCCGGCCACGGCTCCGTCGGGGCAGGGCAGAGCCCCGCCCCGTCGCTGTGACGGCTCAGGCCCCGTCTGACGGGAGCTCAGCTCGATCCTGGCCTCTCCAGCCGGCCGTGCTGGCTGGGATGTCGGCCGTGCTGGCTGGGACCTCGGCCGTAGTGACTGGGACGTCGGCCGTGCTGGCTGGGATGTCGGCCGTAGTGACTGGGACGTCGGCCGTGCTGGCTGGGATGTCGGCCGTGCTGGCCGGGACGTCGGCCGTAGTGGCTGGGACGCCGGCCGTGCTGGCTGGGACGCCGGCAGCTCATCTGACTGTTCCGTGGCGCCAACGCCTGTTCTCCTGGCGGCCGGTTGCGGGCCAGCCTCACGAGTTCGGCAGGGCCTCTCCTTGTGGTAAAGCTCTGTACAGCTGACCTGTTGCGCACAGTTGCACGGCTCCCTTTTCTATATGGCCTGGGCGACAGATCTCATTCCTTACGTCGTGCAAAAGTTGCAGTAGTTTAGGGGCGCTTAAACCGCCGTAAAACAACAGTGAAGTACAAACGACGTAGGCCGTTTAATTCTGTTTGTAATTAGACGGGCGTTTAATCTTGTCGCAGTTAATTGGGCCGCTGTAATTGTGCAGATGATTGTCGTTAAATTTTAATTCGCGCAGTGGCCTGGTAACGGATGACTCTCGATATTCATCCGGGGGACATTCCGGCGCGGCTGTTATGCCAGCCGGGGACGCATTAGGCGATTTATCGCCGGGCAGTGGCGCGTGCGGCCGGCCAGTCGGCGCGCCGCCGTTGCGCTTAAACCCTCTCCGGGGCCGGCTGACGACAGCCGCGGCCGCGCCACAAATGCCGCTTTAATGGCCGCCCCCGGCGCTGTGCCTGCTGCCTCACCGCTCGGGAGTGGCCAGCCGGCTACAAACGCAGAGCAATTCTGCCGCTGCCGATGTCTGGCCTGTGGGCACGGCGTGGTCGCGCTATAAATATCGTTAAAAACGGATGCGCCACTCCGGCCGCGATAAAAAGAAGCGCGCAAGATAAGCCGCGCGTCGCTGCGTCGTAAATTTCTCGGCTGCGACAGGACACACCGGGTGGCCGATTGCAATGCATAATTTTGAGCCGAAAGGAACGCTAAACCGGGATAATTTATGCGTTATTTACGAGTTTTTATTTACTTCATGAGCAGACCGGCAAGTAAATCATGGTTGCTGGATGAGCTATGTGGTTGGACCCGCCCCTGCTCGGCCCCCAGCCACGCCATCCCTGCTGCGCTGTCAACCAATAATTGTCCCCGATTATTTCTGTGTCTTTTCATCTTTGTAATTACTTTTTTGCCCATGGCTAATGGCCCTGTTTATCTCCGCAGCTTTCGCCCATTGAAGATTGTAACCGACTCGGGTAATTGGACAGTGACGAAGTTGTTTTGCCGGCCGATCCGCTGCGTCGGCAGCGGCTACCAGCCGGGTGTCTGGCCGGAGACTGCTGACCTGGCGGCTGCCGGTCCGGTCCGGTCCGGTCCGGTCCGCAGGGTGTCTGCCGTGTCTCGTGCCGGCGCCGCTTACCGCTCGCCTCTGTTCCAGGCGGAAGAGCTACTCGGCGTCGCGGCGCGAGCTGGCGCCGCTGTCGGGCGGCGGCCGCGGCCGGCGCGGCTGGCTGTGGCGCGTGCTGCGTGCCGCACTGCCCTTCCAGCTGGCGCTGATGCTCTGCTTCTGCGTGGCCTGCCTGCTGGAGCCGCACTGCTGTGATCACCTGAACAACCTGAGCATGTCGCTGACGCCGCAGCTGCGCTACATGCGTGGTCCGCCGCCCATCTGAGCGCCCGCGCGTCCGGACGGCGAGCGGCGTGTCCGCCAGTGTGTCCGGACGGCGATCGGCGTGTCCGCCAGTGTGTCCGGACGGCGAGCGGCTGCGTGTCCGCCAGTGCGTCCGCACGGCGAGCGGTGTGTCCGCCAGTGTGTCCGGACGGCGAGCGGCTGTGTGTCCGCCAGTGGGCCGGCCGGCGCAGTGCGTCGCGACATTCCTGTTTCCTAGTCAGCCAGAGGTGGTGGACAGGCGTGGCGGCGACCGGCCGCGGGAGACCCGTGGGATGTAGTGGGAGCGTCACCCGCGCAGAGTCGGTGCAAGAGGACCGAGCTGACCGGGGCAGACGGCAGCAGCAGCAGACTGCGGCCGTCTGTCGCACCACAGCCGCCCATCGACAGCACAGCCACGCCTCGTGGCGTGCCAGCGCCTCCGTCCACACCGTCTGTACCGAACGTGACCGCGCGCGTCTCACAAGAGACAGCCGCGCCGCCCCTGCGAGGGCCGACCCACCACTAGCAGCGTTGTCTGTCACCTGACCCACGGCCCGGCCCGGCCTGGCGCGTGGCGACCGTCGGCGCGGGCCTCGCCCCGCCGGCGGCCGCCTCCCGCCGCCCGGCGGCCCAGCTGTACAGACTTAACTGTAAGGCGTAGCCGTTAAGGTCCGCTAGGTTAAGTTGTGTCGGTGACTAGGGGTTTAATGAGTGCCTTGAGCGGCCGCACACCCGGAGCCGCGACGGCCGGGCCCCGCCAGCTGTAGAGTAAGCCCGTCTACCGGGCGGACGGCCCACGGGAGGCGGCGGGCGGCACGGGCCGCCGCCGCCCCACTAACAAACCCGTGTGCCTTACGAGCGAGTAGAGGACCGCCGTCTCCACGCCACGTGGACGCTTGTACATGGCTGAGCTTCTGTGGGGGCGCTGGGCGGGGATGAGGCGGTGAGCGACGCAGGCGCGGGACAGAGCAGTGCGGAGACGCCAGCAGGGCACCCGAACGCCACCAGAGTAGAGGAGCCTTGCTCCGCAGTCCAGGGGCGCGCCTCTCTTGACTACTGCCATGAGCAACGGGTTAGAAAAGCAGTGTTGTCATGGAGACCGATCGTGGAAATTCGTACAAAGCTGAATGCCTGCAATTTACTTAGGTGTAGCCCATACCTGACATAGAAACATCATCTACGTGCTTGTCGCCGGTGGCCAAAGATGATTTGGAAGCTTTAGTCGTCAAAAGTACCAACTCATTGGTCGGGTCGTTTGATTCTGTTACGGTATGGTACTGATTTTGTGACAGTGATGTGTCTTTATATGTTTATATATAGTAACGTGCAAGAGCGCGAGCGGGGATCTAGACAGTGTAAGTACTCGGTAACACTTAATACAGCATCATAAATCTGACACCGGGCTGTGGCTTTCGTCGCCGGTGGGCTGCGATGTGACTGAACACTCGTGTGAGACATCACCTGCACGACATCAGCGTACACGCGGCTCAGCAGCCACGCCCGGACATCAGCACCGCGGCTGATCATCCTGGTGTCGCCGACCTGCGACAAACCACCATACGTTAACGGAATGGATGTTATGTCGCGGGACCATACTGGATCCTGGTCACTGGATGTGTCGCGGGACCATACTGGATCCTGGTCACTGGATGTGTCGCGGGACCATGCTGGATCCTGGTCACTGGATGTGTCGCGGGACCATACTGGATCCTGGTCACTGGATGTGTCTCGGGACCATGCTGGATCCTGGTCACTGGATGTGTCGCGGGACCATACTGGATCCTGGTCACTGGATGTGTCTCGGGGCCATACTGGATCCTGGTCACTAGATGTGTCTCGGGACCATGCTGGATCCTGGTCACTGGATGTTCCCGGGGATGGGGCATGCCCGCCCCGGAGGACGGGGGAGCGGCGGTTCTCGGCGCTCAAACGGGTCCGGCAGGGGTCCTCATTGTGTGTTGGGGGGGGGGGGGGGGGGGGGGGGGATGGCACCAGCGCAGGTGCTGATCTGGCCTTCGATGGTGGGATCTCGGCAGAGCAGGCGCTGACCTGGCCCTCGATGGCGGGGGTCTCAGCAGAGCCACCCGTCACGCCACCAAGGCCGCGGGACGCGCCGGGTGACCAGGTCTGTGGCCGCATGGCAGGGCGGCGGCGGCGGAGTTCTGGGACCCGGTCGTTAGGTCGGATGGCAGCGAGATACAGGACGCCTGAGGGGCCGCCAAACCATCAGCCAACTCACCACACTTGCTCCAGTCATCCAGCTGGACATGTTGCTTGGTGTTGCGAGGGTGAAAATTACGAGTTGCTCGAGCACATACGCCTGTTTAAAAAGCGCGAAGGAGAAAACGACGAGTGTAGGTTCAAGTGACAAATTATAACGGAGATCGCTAAAACCAGCTGAAGAAACCTTCCACAGCTGCACCCACTATACAGTTGCCTTACTGGGTAACGGTCGTTTGACATCGGTAATTTGAGCTCGACCAGTGTCAGGACGCTCCGTGGGGAGTTCGCGTTGCGCTTGTTGACGGCGCCGGATCCGCTCGGCGACACCAGGCGGCGGCACCTGGCGTCCTGCCGCTGATCAGCGCATCTGAGCACAGAGGCACCTCAGGTGCGGTGGGAGTTGTATGACCCCTGATGACCCCTGGGGTGACCTGCGACTCTAGCGCCCCGGATGCGGCCTGTGACCTCGGGTCGGGACGCTGTCCAGAGGTCGCCTGCACCTGTCGATGCCGCCGGCCAGCCTGGCTCTGTTTTTGTCTGCGCCTGTTGCCCGGCCGACAATGGAGCCGACGTATTGTGCGTCGCCGACCCGTTTGTATCTGACGGGCGCAGGACACCATTGTATTACAATCTCTCGGCGGAGGGCGCGCCAAAAAATTAGCACCCTGACAGGGGCGCGCCGGTCGGCCGGGCGGGCCGGTGACAGGCGGCCGGTGTCGGCGGCGCACCGGTCGGTCGCTTGTTGACGGCCCGTCACCTGTCACGCACCCAGGACAGGCCCCATTCAGATCAGGGGCCGTATAGACGGGCGGACCAGCAGCCGGACGACACCGGCAGATGGGGCGGCCGGCTGACCGACTGGTGGGAGCGGTCTCGGACCGGCTGATCTAGGGCCGACGGCGCAAGAACCGCGTCCGAAGCACCTCCAACGGTGGTGTCAGGGGCCCTGGTCTCCTGGAACGGCGGTCCCCGGGGTTTCTCAGCAGCCCGTCGAGACTGGTCTGAGCGACAGACCACCCAGACGCGCTCGACGCTCAAACACGCGCCGCTGCGGTGTGAGACATGTCACATATGGGTGGGTCGTGATGTGGCGGGATGGCGACTCGGGATCGGAAACAAACGGCCCGCCGGCACACTCAACTGGGACTGACATGACTCAGGCGAAAAATCGCATCTCGAGAAGAACGAGGAGGTCCAGGTAACCAACAATACAACCATTCAGACCCGGCACACTCGTATAAATCACTGGGGTGTTACACTTCCGTGCTACTCGAAAGCATGCATATAAAATTGCATGCCAATATCACAGCTCTGCACTAAAGTGACGTCGTCTAAAGCTGTTCCATACGTTGTGACGTGTCCCGTCAAGTTAGCTTGACCTTTCAGCCAGTCAGTTTGACCTTCATTTCTAAAGCTGCTCTGCTTACGTTGTGATACAGAAGACTGGATAACGGCATTGACTTCCCAACTTGAAAGTCAACGGCTTTGGCTTAGAGCTTGGCTTGGCAAGCTTTGGCTTGGCAACATGGGGTAAACCACGATCGGAAGTCCGGTTTTCGAATGTTACATTTCTCACTTCTGGTAGTTATGTGTAGTTATTTAGGAGGTGCATCTGTGTCAATGGGTGGTTCTGCACTGCTGGCTGGGGCGTGCTACTGAATCCCGCCATTTCAGAACGTAGTTAGGGCCATGTAGATGCGCAGGGAGAGAGGGTACAGAGCAAGGGGCACAATTCCTCCGCCCCTTCTTACGTCCCGTGAGTTTTATCGAGCCCCTCGGGATCGACGATCAAGGGCCGATTGCAGATCCCGAAAGGCCCGGACCCTCGAACGTAGGTCAAAAGACCTCTTGTGTCTATGGGGAGCCCCTTGGGATGATGAAGGACAACGACCAGCTACACTTAACAGCCGGCTCCGTGTCGGTCTGGGTGCTGGGTGCACGTTTGCCAACCAGGACAAGGCTGGTGCCGGCGATTATCACTGAAGGCGTATTGCATTGGTTAGGACCCTAAAATAATGAGGCGGCCCTGTGTTGTTCAGGAACCCGCAATGCCCAACGTCATATCCAGTGTCGATAAAGGTTCCCGAGTCGGCCATTGGCCCATTTGCTGAACAGGAACAGGGACGCGACCCCGAAGAGCAGAGGGGCTCTTGCTTTGGTAGGGCCCCCTCACAATAAAAGTAGATATGAGAAATGACAATGAAAATGCGTGAGGTGAGGCAATAAAAGGACCCTGTGTCAGTCAGGGACTCCAATGCCGAACGGAAGTCTTCCTTCGCGTTTCAGCTAGGGCCCGATAAGTCGAGGTGGTGTCACTGTACCAGTCATGGGACGATCTGCGCCAGTAAGGAATGTTTTTCGTCAGTGAGTGTGCATGTGTTGATCCGGGGCCAAATGCTCCGGTCAGAGGCCCTGTCGCATCAGGCAGGGGACCAGTGTATGACGTATCCCTCTAAGCTCCTCCGGATCAAGCGGAGTCCTACGGCCCCGTACCGCCATAACTGCAGCCGGTACGTACCTCGGGCTGGGACGGGAGGGACTCTCAACATCTCACCGGAGAGGGTAATGCATCCCCTAGTATTCTACCCACGGGGCCCCTGCCCGGGAATAGTATGGGTTTCCGTAGTGCTCAATGGGCTGGATTAAAGCGGAATGAGAAAAATTGCATTGGCATGATACGACGCCTTTTCCCGAGGACGTTCATCTCTTCCAGAATCACTAAGCTCAAAACCATTTAAATAGCTTGGAGAATGCACGCTTGCAACCTTAAGTTGCAAAAACAGTGCCGTTATCCGTCGT